GAGGTAGCTGAAAGTCCGTATTGCCCAGCGACAGCCCCGAAACCTGAAGGATCTGGAGAAGGTCTGTATGGAGGAGTGGGCCAAAATCCCTGCTGCAGTGTGTGCAAACCTGGTCAAGACCTACAGGAAACGTATGATCTCTGTAATTGCAAACAAAGGTTTCTGTACCAAATATTAAGTTATGCTTTTCTGATGTATCAAATACTTATGTCATGCAATAAAATGCAAATTAATTACTTAAAAATCATACAATGTGATTTTCTGGATTTTTTTTTTAGATTCCGTCTCTCACAGTTGAAGTGTACCTATGATACAAATGACAGACCTCTACATGCTTTGTAAGTAGGAAAACCTGCAAAATCGGCAGTGTATCAAATACTTGTTCTCCCCACTGTATAGACAGGTGTGTGCCTTTCCAAATCATGTCCAATCAATTGAATTTACCACAGGTGGACTCCAATCAAGTTGTAGAAACATCTCAAGGATGATCAATGGAAACAGGATGCACCTGAGGTCAATTTCGAGTCTCATAGCAAAGGGTCTGAATACTTATGTAAATAAGGTATTTCTGTTTTTAATTTTTAATACATTTGCAAACATTTCTAAAAAAACTGTTTTCGCTTTGTCATTATGGGGTATTGTGTTTAGATTGATGAGGGAAAACAATTATTGAATAAATTTTAGAATAAGGCTGTAACGTAACAAAATGTGGGAAAAGTGAAGGGGTCTGAATACTTTCCGAATGCACTGTAGGTGTCGAGAGAAGGCACACATTCTGATGGGGAGGCATCTGATGAAAAACCTACCTCACTCTGTATGGCAAGGCTTGTTTAATGTTTTATATTAAGACAAAATCACATTACATATGCAATATCAGGCCTGACATACAATACTGAACTAAAATAACACAAAATGAAGTTGAAAAATCTTTCATTTTGGGGAAAATGATCTCAAACCACTGTAAAAGACAATTTCAACAATGTATGTTTTTCACACAGAATATCAAAAAGAAAACTGCCATTTAATTATAATTGCAATGAAATAAATTAAAATATATTATAAAAAGGCTTTTGCATGTCATCCCTCAGATAAGAAATGTACAAAATATTTCCAAAGAATTCATGTAAAATATATTGTACTGCAATGTGGTACTGTTTTTAGTTTACTTCATGCTGCTAATGAAAATAAAAACAATAATCAATCATTTGACAAAAGTGGTTATCAGCAACAGATATGCTACAGGTAAACCAACATAAATAAACAATTATTCTCCATGTCAGTATGCTATATTCTGTTTTATTATATCCTATGCTATAATATAATATTATATATTACATTATGTGAACTGTGACGTGTTAGATATTCTAATGAAATGTGAGATCATGCTTTGTCATAAAGTGTTGCTCTACAGTAAATGGATGTCCTCTGATCATTTTGGTTTATAAAATATTAAGGAATATTGTGTTTCAGTTGCAACTTGACTATTAGCACATACAGTGACGCACAACCAACGTTTTGCTCCCGTTTACAACAATAAACCAAAATATACCATTGTGAGATGTAGACAAGGTTTTACATGTTGATTCATAACAATAGCCTACAGGACAAAATAGCAACAAAAACAATGTGAAGAAATTACCTAATAATAACAGCTTTGCTTATGTGTTCAGTGGTGCAATTTCAGTGATTTTATCATACGATTCAGATAGCTGTGGGCATGTGGGGCACTAACATTATATGTAAGAATACATTTTGCTTGAAGAATGTTGTTACAGACTTCAACAGTAACAGCGAATAATTTTATGTTCATTTGAGAGTCTCTCATGCTGTCTACCTTCCCCTTAGCTCCCCTAATCCTCTCTTCAGCACACACTGTGTTGTCTGTGTAATGCAACGCTGAATGAATCACAGCACTTCCCAACCCACATGATGTGAATATGAGAATCTTAACATGGGGAAAGGCTGACATAGTCTTGTTGGCACTTACAGACTAACAGAAAACCGTTTAATATTGTTGGTTATTCTGATTTACTGGGTGAAAATGGTTATCTTATGAATAAGGAAATAAAATGATTAGACGTAAAACATACAACCCAACTGTACTCAAACAAACATATCAAATATAACCTATAGAACACAGGAGGTTGGTGGCACCTTAATTGGGAAGGACAGGCTCCTGGTAATGGCTCGAGCGGAATAATTGGAATTGTTTCAAATACATCAAACACATGGTGTCCATGTGTTTGGTTACATTCCATTCACTCCGTTTCGGCCATTATCATGAGCCGTTCTCCCCTCAGCAGCCTCCTGTGCTATAGAACTATACACATTGATACCAACAAAGGCATAGAAGTTTAGGCATTAGTTAAGAGTGTGTATAGTGTATAACTGTCCATGGAGATAGCTGCAGTTAAGCCATGTTCTTTCCTTTTCCTTTTAGCATATACAGTGAGGGAAAAAAGTATTTGATCCCCTGCTGATTTTGTACGTTTGCCCACTGACAAAGAAATGATCAGTCTATAATTTTAATGGTAGGTTTATTTGAAAAAAATCCAGAAAAACACATGTCAAAAATGTTATAAATTGATTTGCATTTTAATTAGGGAAATAAGTATTTGAACCCCTCTCAATCAGAAAGATTTCTGGCTCCCAGGTGTCTTTTATACAGGTAACGAGCTGAGATTAGGAGCACACTCTTAAAGGGAAGCAATTAATCAATCAGATTCCAAACTCTCCACCATGGCCAAGACCAAAGAGCTCTCCAAGGATGTCAGGGACAAGATTGTAGACCTACACAAGGCTGGAATGGGCTACAAGACCATCGCCAAGCAGCTTGGTGAGAAGGTGACAACAGTTGGTGCGATTATTCGCAAATGGAAGAAACACAAAAGACCTGTCAATCTCCTTCGGCCTGGGGCTCCATGCAAGATCTCACCTCGTGGAGGTGCAATGATCATGAGAATGGTGAGGAATCAGCCCAGAACTACACGGGAGGATCTAGTCAATGATCTCAAGGCAACTGGGACCATAGTCACCAAGAAAACAATTGGTAACACACTACGCCATGAAGGACTGAAATCCTGCAGCGCCCACAAGGTCCCCCTGCTCAAGAAAGCACATAAACAGGCCCGTCTGAAGTTTGCCAAAGAACATCTAAATGATTCAGAGGAGAACTGGGTGAAAATGTTGTGGTCAGATGAGACCAAAATCGAGCTCTTTGGCATCAACCAACTCGCCGTGTTTGGAGGAGGAGGAATGCTGCCTATGACCCCAAGAACACCATCCCCACCGTCAAACATGGAGGTGGAAACATTATGCTTTAGGGGTGTTTTTCTGCTAAGGGACAACTTCACCGCATCAAAGGGACGATGGACGGGGCCATGTACCGTCAAATCTTGGGTGAGAACCTCCTTCCCTCAGCCAGGGCATTGAAAATGGGTCGTGGATGGGTATTCCAGCATGACATTGACCCAAAACACACGGCCAAGGCAACAAAGGAGTGGCTCAAGAAGAAGCACATTAAGGTCCTGGAGTGGCCTAGCCAGTCTCCAGACCTTAATCCCATAGAAAATCTGTGGAGGAAGCTGAAGGTTCGAGTTGCCAAACGTCAGCCTCAAAACCTTAATGACTTGGAGAAGATCTGCAAAGAGGAGTGGGACAAAATCCCTCCTGAGATGTGAGCAAACCTGGTGGCCAACTACAAGAAACGTCTGACCTCTGTGATTGCCAACAAGGGTTTTGCCACCAAGTACTAAGTCATGTTTTGCAGAGGGTTCAAATACCTATTTCCCTCATTAAAATGCAAATCAATTTATAACATTTTTGACATGCGTTTTTCTGGATTTTTTTGTTGTTATTCTGTCTCTCACTGTTCACTTAAACCTACCATTAAAATTATAGACTGATCATGTCTTTGTCAGTGGGCAAACATACAAAATCAGCAGGGGATCAAATACTTTTTTCCCTCACTGTAGCCACCATCATAAATATGTCCCTATTGGTCATACAGTATTTATTTTGTTCAATATTCAGGGTACAGTCAGTGTGCCCAGAATGAAATAGTCCAACACTGAAAGCAGAGTGGCTGAATCCTGAAGGCACATTGGATATTGTCATTACTATAACTAATATGATGCTTGTTCATACAATAATCCTTTTCATGACAATATCATATCAATTCCCTCTCAAAAGTCACAATGTCGCCAAATGTGAACCTGTCATATCATGCCAGAAACCAATCTTTCCAAGAAGAGCCATCATCATATGTAACAAGACCGGGGAAACTTGGCACAAAATAAATAATAATCTGCAAGATAAAAGACACATTTGTGAGGAAATACCAGTGCTACTGTGTGGAATGGTGCAATGAAGGGTTGCCATAATCGTGTAGCATGCCATTGTATTCTACACAGAATAAGGACTGCAGTGCAATTAAACCAATACATGACAATGCAATACAATCAAATGTCAGTGACATAAACCTTAATGTGTTTTTAATCAGTGCAGGGATATTATTTTCCAAAGCATTTAGTCTCTAAGCAACTCATTTGGTACTCATTTGGCAGGAAAGGAAATAGAAGTGTACAGTATGTGCTTGACACATTAAATGCAGGCATCAACATCTCTACAATCAAAGCTAAAAACATTAAGACATTTAATCAACTGTAATGCAAAAAATAAATTTAAAAAGTAATATCGTTTTTTTTTTCATTCTCAGTCCAGGTGATGCAGTAGTTGTAATAATGGCTCCATGAGAATGACTGATATCATGTTGACAAAACTCCTCCAACTCCTCACTCAATGTAAAGACATTATAGACAAGCCAGCCAATGCACACATCTAGTCCATGGGGATATCTTCCTATCACCCATTTACACATGATTCATCATCATCATCATCATCATCATCATCATCATCATCATCAAAGCCTTGCCCTCACACAGCGAAGTGCGAAGAGCAATGGGCACACCTCTGACCAGTACCAAAATGTGAATGTCCGATTAAATGAACCATTCCTTCTTGCTCTCATCAATGGTTTCTGTGAAGGCTGGGTCATTGACAATGATGGCTGCATCGGCACAGTCCGCAGACTCCGCCCCTTTGGCCTCATTGGTGTGGTAGGAGCCCTTGTGACGGAACATATGGCGAATAAAGAACACCAGGGTGCAGAGGATGGTGAAGATGACCACAGCAATGATACCTGCAAGTACAAAGGACATTATGAGGTACATGACACCGTGTTCTTTTGAAAATTACTGGATTTGACACTTTTCTATTTATTTTCCTTTTTTATATATTGAATACTGCATTGTTGAGGAAGAGCTTGCAAGTAAGCATTTCACTGCACTGTTTGCACCTGCTGTATCCTCTGTGCACGTGACAAATACACTTTGATAAGGGCTTGTAAGTAAGCATTTCACGGTAAGGTCTACACCTGTTGTATTCGGCGCATGTGACAAATACAATTTGATTTGATTTGATTTGACCATTAAAAACATCAACAACCCAGTATAGTAGGTGAGTTGATTACTGCCCCTATTCACCTCCAATAATTGCAGCGTTCCGATCAACTCCATCCCGGCTAACTCTTTCCTCGTTGAATGGGAATACAGCACCAGCTGAAAAAGTAAACAAAAACAGATCTCAACCACAAAATATCTAAACCACAAAATAATCAAACAATGCTCAAAAAATGTAAATGCTGTCACACATTTTTTACAGAGACAGAATATGTAAATTGTAAACTGGCACACTTTGGCATTTGATTATTTAAAAAAACAGGACAGGCGATAAATATAGCATGCAGTATATGCACAGTGTGTGAGTCAGGGGGGGAAGTAGGCTAGGAGTGGGCTAAGAGTCGAGAAGAGCAGTCTGCTCTTTTCATCTGGCATCTCTGTGGCACTCTAGTCCATTTGAATGGATTCTGCAGAATCTGTGTAAATCCCTCATCACATATCACCGCCCCCAGAATACACACACACACACACCACACACACACACACACCACACACACACACCACACACACACACACACACACACACACACACACACACACACACACACACACACACACACACACACACACACACACACACACACACACACACACACACACACACACACACAGTGGAGCAGGGATCACAGATGCCTCTCACAGGGAGCTTACAAAGGCTGATCTGTTGCCTTTGGAGCACTATGCAAGGCTCAGATCAAATGATAAAAAGATTATTCTCATGTTTTTCATCCAAAGCTCTCTTAGTAAAAGTCAGAATATTTACATTTACATTTTAGTCATTTAGCAGACGCTCTTATCCAGAGCGACTTACAGTTAGTGAGTGCATACATATTTGTTTTCATACAATATCAGTAGTGTAACAATCTATAAGTGAAAATATCAACCTACTACTCCCATTAGGCCTAGCTGTGGGACAACTGAAATGGTTTATATTAATCCTTACTAAAGCAGTACCACTAAAACAATTTATCTGACCTATTGAAACCTTATATGCCTCCATAGGTTAAACATACAACATAGTCACTTAGAGTCCCTGAGGGATAACATTTCATACCCTTGTACAGAGCAGACCATTCCCAGAGTAGGCATGAGATAGATCTTGTGTTTCCAGTAATGGAGAGATTAAGAGAAGAGAGGGTGAGTGGGTGGGCAGCAATATATCTCATGTATCTGGAAAGCTCATTCCTTTGTGTCCAGAGAACACACCCAGGATCAATACACTGACCCAGTGATAACCATCCTGTAGACCTATCCACAGGAGCTAAACAGCACAGCACATGGGTTTAAATGGTTCAATAGCTGGAGAAGAAAAATACCACTATTAAATATCATGGCTTGAAGTTTTAATTAAATGTCAAATCTCTTTGGAGGACTGAGTGGACCGCTGGTGCTGCTAGTTGACCACTGACAATCTATCTACTGTAAAGGACTACTTTAAAAACGCAGTATTGATGGTATCAAGACGTAAATAAAAAAACAAAATAATTCAATAGAATAGAATAGAATAAAATCCCATGATATGAATAAATAGTTCCATTGGTTGGACAATCAAAGGGGATAGATTGAGACACAGTGATTTACTGTACCTGAGTCCATGTGCCAGGGGTCGTTGGCAGCAGCCATGGGTGAGATGGTGAGAGGAGACGCCCCACAGTTGGACTCCACTAGAATGCCCTCGGTGGTCACCGGGGCGACGATGCCAGACCTCAGTGCTGCCTTCAGAGGGGCGATGTTGTTGAACTGAACTCTGGACAGACAGCCCACGAACCCTGGGGTGTTGTACTTCTCTATGAGAACCGGGTCAATCTGGCCAGTTTCTGATTAAAACAAATACAAAATAAAAAACATTACAGCACTTCTAGATTAGATAGGAGTTCTTCCTCATGGTATTCCTGTCAACCTGTCTTGTGTGAAATATACAGTTGCGCTTCATCATCTTCTGCTTGTGTAGAGCTGCTGACTGATACTGCCTGACCACTTAATACTGGTCTACAACCATGATGCACTACTACTCAACACATTGCAATACTGTTAGCCTCCCCAGTTTGATTTATGTTCACGGGAACCTAGTCTCTGGTTGGTGATACTGTATTCCCTGTCCCTAGCTTCCCCTTACATTACAGACAGGCAACTACTGTAGAGACTTCTACTGCAGATATGTTATATTCCAAAGTATCCAATTCTATTGCAATATGTTATTCTACAAGGCAGATAAAGAAGAGTAATTTCACAGTTATATGTAAGAAGGATGTTTCATATGCCCCCAGGTTGAAAAGACAAACACATCCTGTTTGGAACATTAGGCCATGCATGATCTTTACTTTTCAGAAAACACATCGCAACATCTACAGAAAAATAATTCACCATCTTAGGCCAGTCAGAGAGCTACAGTGACAATGTTTGTTAAAAACAACATAGGCCTTTTTTATTTGTATTTATCCTTTATTTAAGTAGGCAAGTCAGTTAAGAACAAATTCTTATTTACAATGACGGCCTACCCCGGCCAAACCGCCTACTTTGCATGAAAAGGAAATGACGAAAAATATAAATAATCTGAAACAAAGAGTTGCAACAAGGTCAAGGTTTACGATAAGTGTCCCCAATACCTACATATTTACAGTGTAGTTACAGGTAGGTTGTTGAAAACACTATGCCACCTCAAATACAGAAGAGTATTACCTGGTTTCCCTGTTGTCCTCCCTGAATGTAGTAGCGCTAACTCTGAGTCTGCCCCCACGGTGCAGCCCCTCTATCCAGAGCACAAGTCCTTGCCTTCTACAGTGCTACCACTGCCCGCTGTATGCCTGTCTATGAGAGTTGCTTGTCTGTCTGCCTGTATGTCTGTCTGTCTGTCTGTATGTCTGTCTGTCACCAGATACATTTGACTCTGTATCTGCCTTCCTGCCTGCTAGTAGTCTGTTTATCTTCCTGCCAATACGTCTATCTCTCTGTCTATCTGTCTTCCTGTGTGTATACCTGTCTGTCTGTCAGCCTATCTGTAAATCTGCCAGGGTGTCTATGTGCCTGCAGCCTTGGTTAGTCAGCGAGCTCTGAATGTGAATGCACACTAAGTGATTCAGCCCAGCTCCTTTCCCTTCCTTCTCTTCTCTTCCTTACAGCCAGACCAGGCAGGGAAACCATGGAGATCCAAGATGATGTCATGGATACATTCACAGACGGAGGCGGCTCGGAGAAAACCTGGATGTGAGTAAAGGATTACAGGATGGGGATTGTGCTCCCTCCCTCCCTGAGGATGATGTCAGAGATTGTTGTTAATTTATTAATCGAGTGCATCAGCAAAGCACTCTGGGAAGTTGTAAGGTTTTACCAGCCAGACACAATGGGGCATTCTACTGTTCTCAGAACAGGACCAGTGTACTGGTGTCTGACTCCTGCTATCACGGTGCTGCTCCCTCCCTTAGCGGAAATCAAACACACCATGCCATGCGCACATCACTTGATTCTGTTTTCTATTCTACCCCTCCTCTATACTGACATGTTGTGTGCTGCAGTGGTATGGTTCCTGATGGCCCTATGATCCAGACTTTTTTACATTGCGTTTATCTGAATTGTGTAGGTGTACTATATCAGTCAGCAGTGGCGATTTTAGCATGTACATCTAGCAGGGGCAAACTCTTTTATTTTTATTTTTTATGCATGCCATCAAAGCCACTACACAACACAACACTACACTAAACAATACATTAATTGCACTATATAACGGTGCCAAATGGTGCCCGCAAACTGTTAGGGCATACATAAAGCTGTCCCAACAGCAGAGCTTTCTTTTCAGCACCATGGAGTGAATCATTACCACTGCTACACCTGGCTATCAGGAGAGCCTTGTCTGGCAGCGAAACAGTTAATTTACTGCCTTTTAAAAAAACATAGCTGATATGGCTGACTTGCTTAAACAAATGTGGTTTCTACTGACAATTGAGATGTACAAACTACGGAATAAGGGGATGACGAGCGGATAAAAGGCAATCCGTAATTTTGATTAAGACATTAATGAGCGAGCTGAGATGGACGTAGTCAATATAACTATTTGTTCAGCACTTTTGAAATGTACAACGACAGAATTCAGAACATGGGCCGTTCTTACAGTATTCTCCCTGTACACCAAGTTGGAACTGTAGGATAAATAAAGGGGGCATATAAGCAGACAATGAAAGCTCTTACAATATTCAATTATTAAATTTCTCTAAAACAGGCTATAGGCTACATGTGCACCACCAAGTCAGAACAGTTGGCTAAGTTATGAGGGGGAAAGGGACCAAATTATTAGGGTGAGGCACATGGGTTACTAACAGCTTACTACACAACATAAACTTAGTATTACTTTCTTAGCTACATATCTCCCTGTCATATTACATCATTTATGCAGCAGCATACAATACATTTTTGGCCTCCCCGTTGTTGTGCTGTGCTCACTTGAACAGGAAGGTGGCGCGGCGGTCCTTCTTGTGGGCAAATTGTGTCATGAAACTTTGTCATCAAAGTCTGGCATTCTCTGGATTTATGGTGCTTTCACGACAACTGGGAACTCGTAAAAAAACAAGGTTGAATCATGACGTCAGTGATCTTTAGGTCAGAGCTCTAGAAAGAGGCCTGAGTTCCCGACTTGGAATTCTGAGTTGGATGACCGTTCAAAACGTATTTTCCCAGTTGGAGCTCCCAGTTGTCTTGAACGCGGCAGAAGTTATGCTGGGTTGACAGCATGGCCAATGTATTCAACCTTTTCTGGCCCATGGTGTTGCGTGAGAATGTTTATCCTTTTAAGCTTGGAAAAGTACCTTTAAACCCAGACTTGGACCACACACCCTCTCCACCGAATAGCAGGCAAGGGAAGAAAAATAGTGATTGCTTTGCAAGGCTTGCAGTTAGCAACTGATTCGTTCCAAACCACTCATTGTTGAATTTGCGATTTCCAACTTGTTGTGTAATGTTTATGTCCAATGGCCGATGAGCACCGATACGTTTTATCTATAATTTATCTTCATATGACAAGGATTGAAAAGGATTTGCCGGTAGATTGTTGACGTAATTCATGATGATGACTGCTTCTCTAGCTTGCTAGCTAAGATTTTGAAAGTATGATGTTGACATGATCAGTCCAATCAAAGCTACGGTAGATATAACATGATTTGACGTCATTTTATCTGTGGCCAATGACCTTGAGCCTTCTTACATGGGCACTTCTAATGTAAATCTGATATGTGACACTTATTAATGCCAAAATAACATGCCTCCCCTGCCCTGAATGACAGGTCGCCACTGTCAGTCAGACAAAGACAAAGGAAAGGCCTGGACAAGGCCTATTGTAACATTGCTCAATTTGGGCACTAAAATGGATGTACATGTCTTTATATCAAGAAAGCACGATTTTTCTGTCAAGGCAACATCACCATTACCAGCTATATTGATGCCCTCTTTCCATATATTAATACACCTAGACTAAACCAGTACTAAACAAGAATCACTCAGCCATGGATTGGCAACAATAATTCTGGTTTTGTGTTTTATCAGAAACACACAGAACCAAAGTCCTAAAATCACTTAGGGCCAAATTCAAAGAGATCAATGCAAGTAACTCTGACTTCCGTGTAAATAATACATTGATTCCATGCATGATAGACAGCATTCCTTATATTTACACTCCAGTAGTAATACATGGATTATATCTGCACTTACCAAATACTTTCCCCAGGAATATAGTTTTGACCAGGTTGAACTGGGTGTCAGAGCCATCAGGTAGAGTGTAGCTGACTGGGGGGTAATGGTCCAACTGGAAAATAACATAATGATATGGTCATGAATCATGATATATTGCAGTCAGTTATAAACCCAACAGCCAGCATTTTTATTATTGTTAATTACTACTCCCTAGTGGTGAATTTGAAACAGCATATTCCTGGAAATCCTAGCTGATGCTAGCAGCTTATCGTGCATTAGCGAAATCAGATAAACAAACAGAAAAAAAAAGGTGCTAAAAAGCATAATGCACTATAAACCATTTGCACAGGAAAGGTGGGTCAGGTGTGTTGCAAATAGCCTAATGCAGTCTGAGAGGACACAGAACAAATATGTCTTCTGTTGGATTTAATGGCATCAGCAAATCCCTCTCACTGAGAATGGTGTCCTCCCTTCCTGATAGCAGAGCACTAGAGTTCTACCTTTGAACTGCTTTATGAAAAGTGCTATATCTATAGTCTATGTACCTATCAAACAGCCTAATTTAGTCTGAGAGGACTGTTGGATTGAATGACATCATCAAATCTCTCACTGAGAGTGGTGCCCTCCCTGGGACTCAAGCGGAGCATTAGAGTCCTACCTTTCAACTGCTTGATGAAAATGATAAAGCTACATCATTGTTATGATTTTTACCTGCAGCCTAATGTAGTCTGAGAGGGAAAAGAAAATCCATATTTTGTTGAATTTCATGACTCCCACTGTGTGATAGATCCCCCTAGGATCATACTGGAACTGCAGCTGAAAAGTGCTCCATAGATAGATAATGCAACGTCATCATTATTATCACCTGCAGCCGTATGTTCCTCTCCTGCCTGGAGATGTTGATGTGGTGGGGCTGCCCGTTGGCCATGTTGCGGTGGTCCAGGTCGATGGTGAACGGCTCCCTCAGGCCTCCCAGGCTGTAGCGGATCTGGAGTGTCCCTGACAGAGGGAGATGGAATGGCCAGTCAGTCCTAATGTGTCTTAATCTTATTCATATGGTTGTCCGCCCATTATCTCACAGGCTTTGTAACATGGTTAGAGTATCAAACTCAAGTGGCAATTGTACAGTGAGGGAAAAAAGTATTTGATCCCCTGCTGATTTTGTACGTTTTCCCACTGACAAAGAAATGATCAGTCTATAATTTTAATGGTAGGTTTATTTGAACAGTGAGAGACAGAATAACAACAAAGAAATCCAGAAAAATGCATGTCAAAAATGTTATAAATTGATTTGCATTTTAATGAGGGAAATAAGTATTTGACCCCCTCTCGATCAGAAAGATTTCTGGCTCCCAGGAGTCTTTTATACAGGTAACGAGCTGAGATTAGGAGCACACTCTTAAAGGGAGTGCTCCTAATCTCAGCTGGTTACCTGTATAAAAGACACCTGTCCACAGAAGCAATCAATCAATCAGATTCCAAACTCTCCACCATGGCCAAGACCAAAGAGCTCTCCAAGGATGTCAGGGACAAGATTGTAGACCTACACAAGGCTGGAATGGGCTACAAGACCATCGCCAAGCAGCTTGGTGAGAAGGTGACAACAGTTGGTGCGATTATTCGTAAATGGAAGAAACACAAAAGAACTGTCAATCTCCCTCGGCCTGGGGCTCCATGCAAGATCCCACCTCGTGGAGTTTCAATGATCAGGAATCAACCCAGAACTACACGGGAGGATCTTGTCAATGATCTCAAGGCAGCTGGGACCATAGTCACCAAGAAAACAATTGGTAACACACTACGCTGTGAAGGACTGAAATCCTGCAGCGCCCGCAAGGTCCCCCTGCTCAAGAAAGCACATATACAGGCCCGTCTGAAGTTTGCCAATGAACATCTGAATGATTCAGAGGAGAACTGGGTGAAAGTGTTGTGGTCAGATGAGACAAAAATCGAGCTCTTTGGCATCAACTCAACTCGCCGTGTTTGGAGGAGGAGGAATGCTGCCTATGACCCCAAGAACACCATCCCCACCGTCAAACATGGAGGTGGAAACATTATGCTTTAGGGGTGTTTTTCTGCTAAGGGGACAGGACAACTTCACCGCATCAAAGGGACGATGGACGGGGCCATGTACCGTCAAATCTTGGGTGAGAACCTCCTTCCCTCAGCCAGGGCATTGAAAATGGGTCGTGGATGGGTATTCCAGAATGACATTGACCCAAAACACACGGCCAAGGCAACAAAGGAGTGGCTCAAGAAGAAGCATATTAAGGTCCTGGAGTGGCCTAGCCAGTCTCCAGACCTTAATCTCATAGAAAATCTGTGGAGGGAGCTGAAGGTTCGAGTTGCCAAACGTCAGGCTCAAAACCTTAATGACTTGAAGAAGATCTGCAAAGAGGAGTGGGACAAAATCCCTCCTGAGATGTGTGCAAACCTGGTGGCCAACTACAAGAAATGTCTGACCTCTGTGATAGGCAACAAGGGTTTTGCCACCAAGTACTAAGTCATGTTTTTCAGAGGGGTCAAATACTTATTTCCCTCATTAAAATGCAAATCAATTTATAACATTTTTGACATGCGTTTTTCTGGATTTTTTTGTTGTTATTCTGTCTCTCACTGTTCAAATAAACCTACCATTAAAATTATAGACTGATCATGTCTTTGTCAGTGGGCAAACGTACAAAATCAGCAGGGGATCAAATACTTTTTTCCCTCACTGTATTTTAAATTAAGCTTTACATTGCAAAAATACTAAATTGACCATCACTCTCTCTTTCTGCTGTTTCAGTTATTCATGCATCTGTCTCGGACCATGCCCAACCTGTGTGTTGCACCATTTAATTAGCTATTGAGCTAATGTACAGTACATTCCGCGGTTCTTTGCTGACTAAACCATTAACTTCATCGTCCAAGCGTTTCAAGCCCTTTAAACGGATGGCCAGGGTTGCTCTCACATTCTCTCAAGCATTTTAAACCCTTTGAGCATTTTCCCTCTTACCATTGTGTCTGAGCACCACAGCCAGGTAGTCCTGGGTCCTGGAGCTGATGTACACCAGGATGCTGGGGGCGTTGGAGGTGCTGAAGCTGAACCCCAGCTCCTCCTGGGTCAGGTTGCCCTCTGTGGGCAGTAGGGGAGACAGGCTCTTCACATCCCTGATGGCTGGAAGGCCGCCCTTGGGAAGGAAGTCGTAACGAACTAGTGTTCCGCTCTCGAAGTAGCCGCCCACGTCTGATACACACAGGAGACACAAGGCAGAAATACAAAACATCAGCAGACGTTTAAGAAACTGACAAGCGAATCGATATTAGCCACTCTAAAGCACAGGGTAAAGTTAAAGTTGTAACAGTGTGAAGTTGAAATAAAACGGACACATTTAGAGTTACCATTCTCTCACATGACTGTCACTGTATTTTACCTTCAGTGCAGAAGGGCCCGTCATACGCAGTCAAGGTGCAGTCGCATGAGTAACCGTTGTATTTTTCCATGCACTGGCCACCGTTTCTGCAGTGCTGCCCATAGCTGGTGCAGTGGCCAGAGCAGCCAGGCTTCACCCCCGGGGTGACCTTTGCCCTCTCCTCCAGGTCAAGGGTCACACCATTCATCTTCAAGGAACGGATACATCCTAGGAAGCCTCTCTGGCCACCCGATGCACCTGAAGGATAACGTTTAAAACAAAAAGTCTTATTAGACATTTTGGTTTACAACAACTGCTTTGTTGTTATAAACCAAAGTACACTTCTGATAAAAAAAACTGGTCAACTCAAGTTTTTTTTACTTGTTAGTTGTTGACTTGATATCCTAATGCTTTTGACATTGTTGCTGTGTGTAATGTGTAAACTGTGTGGGCCTATATAAGTCAGGTCCAAACACCACGAGCTGAGCACCAGTTGTCTTACAAACATAGACATATAAACCTGATCATCATTACCCTATGTGGTGGGAGGCAGGTAGGAAGGATGTCTTACCCACATAGAGTTGGCTGTAAAGCTCCAGGCGAGTGTGACCCTGTGGGGGCGCAGGGCGAACCTCCTTGTACTGCCCATCCAGCTGCAGCACAGCCTCCTTCACGTTGCGCTCAGCCACCACCCTGTGCCACTGGTCATCATTTAGAGGAGTGGATGACCTCACACTCAGCTCCACCAGACCGTTGCCCACATCAAAGGAAAAGGACACCACCGTGGCAGCTGGGCAGGAGAGGAAAGAGGGCAAGGCATCAGATAAGGTTTTGGGTGAGGCTGCCAAACAGGCTTTGGATCTTCAGAAGTGGAGAGGTCTTGTCTCTGCCTTATGAACCAGTGGGGATAAGTACGCTTTCGGTGAGAAACAGCTGAATTAGGAGGTGTAAATCTGTCAAGGAGGTAGTTTTTGAAACAAAAATTAGGCTGGGGCTATACGTACAGGAGATTTGAGAGACCTTCGTCTGTTTAGGAGTGGTTGAAAAGCTAACAAGCATTTTTAGGGAAACTGAACGTCCACTTCAAGGTTATTATAGTTTTGTGTTTTTATATTCGTTTTTATTTATAATATAATAATAATATAATAATATGCCATTTAGCTGACGCTTTTATCCAAAGCGACTTACAGTCATGTGTGCATTCATTTTTACGTATGGGTGGTCCCGGGGATCGAACCCACTACCCTGGCGTTACAAGCACCATGCTCTACCAATTGAGCTACAGAGGACCACGATTTTTAATTTGAAATTCAATTTAGTTTCAGTTAGTTTTCAGATCTACTTTACTAGTTTTTATTTAGTTTAAGGTTTTTGTTTATATCACCAATATGGAAAAGAAAAACATTTCAATATATTTAACATCACGTAAAATATATTACAAATACATATAGATACATTTGCATGTAATGCCTGACAATATTCCAGAAATGCATGGCTATGACATCTAGTCCACACAAAGTGGTTCCTAATTCGGCTTCTTTAATGACTATGTATTGATCAATGAATATCATTTTTTGGGCCACCATGACAAAACTTTGGCAGTGACATAATTTAAAATTGTGATGGTGAGTATTTTTTGTTGATTTCACCTAATTTTAGCATTCTTCATTAAAAAAAAACCTGTTTTCCCATATCAAGAGGTTTTAAAAAAAAACTATTCAACTTAATTAAATCATGAAAATAATTTATGCATTATTCTTTTATTTTATTCTTTTATTTTATTTTAAAACAAAAACTATACATCGTACAATGCTCCACAATACAGTGGGGAAGAAATGTATTTAGTCAGCCACCAATTGTGCAAGTTCTCCCACTTAAAAAGATGAGAGAGGCCTGTAATTTTCATCATAGGTAAACGTCAACTATGACAGACAAATTGAGAAAAAATATCCAGAAAATCACATTGTAGGATTTTTAATGAATTTATTTGCAAATTATGGTAGAAAATAAGTATTTGGTCACCTACAAACAAGCAAGATTTCTGGCTCCTCTGTCCTTCTTTAAGAGGCTCCTCTGTCCTCCACTCGTTACCTGTATTAATGGCACCTGTTTGAACTTGTTATCAGTATAAAAGACACCTGCCCACAACCTCAAACAGTCACACTCCAAACTCCACTATGGCCAAGACCAAAGAGCTGTCAAATGACACCAGAAACAAAATTGTAGACCTGCACCAGGCTGGGAAGACTGAATCTGCAATAGGTAAGCAGCTTGGTTTGAAGAAATCAACTGTGGGAGCAATTATTAGGAAATGGAAGACATACAAGACCACTGATAATCTCCCTCGTTCTGGGGCTCCACGCAAGATCTCACCCCGTGGGATCAAAATGATCACCAGAACGGTGAGCAAAAATCCCAGAACCACACGGGGGGACCTAGTGAATGACCTGCAGAGAGCTGGGACCAAAGTAACAAAGCCTACCATCAGTAACACACTACGCCGCCAGGGACTCAAATCCTGCAGTGCAGACGTGTCCCCCTGCTTAAGCCAGTACATGTCCAGGTCCGTCTGAAGTTTGCTAGAGTGCATTTGGATGATCCAGAAGAGGATTGGGAGAATGTCATATGGTCAGATGAAACCAAAATATAACTTTTTGGTAAAAACTCAACTCGTCGTGTTTGGAGGACAAAGAATGCTGAGTTGCATCCAAAGAACACCATACCTACTGTGAAGCATGGGGGTGGAAACATCATGCTTTGGGGCTGTTTTTCTGCAAAGGGACCAGGACGACTGATCCGTGTAAAGGAAAGAATGAATGGGGCCATGTATCGTGAGATTTTGAGTGAAAACCTCCTTCCATCAGCAAGGGCATTGAAGATGAAACGTGGCTGGGTCTTTCGGCATGACAATGATCCCAAACACACTGCCCGGGCAACAAAGGAGAGGCTTCGTAAGAAGCATTTCAAGGTCCTGGAGTGGCCTAGCCAGTCTCCAGATCTCAACCCCATAGAAAATCTTTGGAGGGAGTTGAAAGTCCGTGTTGCCCAGCGACAGCCCCAAAACATCACTGCTCTAGAGGAGATCTGCATGGAGGAATGGGCCAAAATACCAGCAACAGTGTGTGAAAAGCTTGTGAATTTGGGCACTTTAGCAAGTGCTTATTCATATTGAAAATCAGATTTATTGAATTATCCATGTGGTCTATATAAAAATTCAATATTGGTGTATAATCTATACTTAACATATCAAAAGGATGCAAAAAGACTCCTTTCATTGAACGACCCAGTACACGTTAAGTTATACCCATTAGACGTTGGTTGCAATGCTCTCGTCAGGTTTGTTTGTCATATGCATGTGAAAGACATGGAGTCTCTACATGACCGATAATGTATCATGTTTGAAGTCATTTATTTTTGTAGTCATTTATTTTTGTAGTCATTTATTTAAGTGCCTATACAAAGTCTACACCTCCTTTGAATTTCTTCACATTTTATTATGTTACAAAGTGGGATTAAAATTGATTTAACTGTCATTTTTTGTCAACGATCTGCACAAAATAATATGTAATGTCAAAAGTGGAAGAAAAATTCAATTTTTTAAAGGTTAATAAAAAATAAAACACTAATATACCTTGATTAGATAAGTATTCACCCCCCTGAGTCAATACATGTTAGAAACACCTTTGTTAGCGATTACAGCTGTGAATCTTCTTGGGTAATTTCATAAGAGTTTTTATACACCTGTATTGTCCATTATTCTTTCAACATATTTCAAGCTCTGTCAAGATGTTGGTGATCATGGCTTGACAGCAATTTTCAAGTCTTGCCATAGATTTTCAAGCAGATTTAAGTCAAAAACGTAACTTGGCCACTCAGGACCATTCACTGTCTTCTTGGTAAGCAACTCCAGTGTAGATTTGGCTTTGTTTCGTAGGTTATTGTCCTGCTGAAAGGTGAATTCTTCTCTCAGTGTCTGGTGTAAAGCAGACTGAAGCAGGTTTCCTATAGGATTTTGCCTGTGCTTAGCTCCATCACATTAATTTCATCCTTAAAAACTCCCCAGTCTTTGCCAATGTCAAGCATACCCATACCATGATGCAGCCACCACCATGCTTGAAAATAAGGAGGCAGTAACTCTGATGTGTTTTGTTGGATTTGCCCCAAACATAACGCTTTGCATTTAGGCCAAAAAGTGTATGCTTTGCAATGTTTTTTTGTTGTTGCAGTTTTACTTTAGTGCCTTGCTGCATACATACAGTGGGGAAAAAAAGTATTTAGTCAGCCACCAATTGTGCAAGTTCTCCCACTTAAAAAGATGAGAGAGGCCTGTAATTTTCATCATAGGTACACGTCAACTATGACAGACAAAATTAGAAGAAAAAAAATCCAGAAAATCACATTGTAGGATTTTTAATGAATTTATTTGCAAATTATGGTGGAAAATAAGTATTTGGTCAACAACAAAAGTTTCTCAATACTTTGTTATATACCCTTTGTTGGCAATGACACATGTCAAATGTTTTCTGTAAGTCTTCACAAGGTTTTCACACACTGTTGCTGGTATTTTGGCCCATTCCTCCATGCAGATCTCCTCTAGAGCAGTGATGTTTTGGGGCTGTCGCTGGGCAACACGGACTTTCAACTCCCTCCAAAGATTTTCTATGGGGTTGAGATCTGGAGACTGGCTGGGCCACTCCAGGACCTTGAAATGCTTCTGACGAAGCCACTCCTTCGTTGCCCGGGCGGTGTGTTTGGGATCATTGTCATGCTGAAAGACCCAGCCACGTTTCATCTTCAATACCCTTGCTGATGGAAGGAGGTTTTCACTCAAAATCTCACAATACATGGCCCCATTCATTCTTTCCTTTACACGGATCAGTCGTCCTGGTCCCTTTGCAGAAAAACAGCCCCAAAGCATGATGTTTCCACCCCCATGCTTCACAGTAGGTATGATGTTCTTTGGATGCAACTCAGCATTCTTTGTCCTCCAAACACGACGAGTTGAGTTTTTACCAAAAAGTTCTATTTTGGTTTCATCTGACCATATGACATTCTCCCAATCCTCTTCTGGATCATCCAAATGCACTCTAGCAAACTTCAGACGGGCCTGGACATGTACTGGCTTAAGCAGGGGGACACGTCTAGCACTGCATGATTTGAGTCCCTGGCGGCGTAGTGTGTTACTGATGGTAGGCTTTGTTACTTTGGTCCCAGCTCTCTGCAGGTCATTCCCTAGGTCCCCCCGTGTGATTCTGGGATTTTTGCTCACCGTTCTTGTGATAATTTTGACCCCACAGGGTGAGATCTTGCGTGGAGCCCCAGATCGAGGGAGATTATCAGTGGTCTTGTATGTCTTCCATTTCCTAATAATTGCTCCCACAGTTGATTTTTTCAAACCAAGCTGCTTACCTATTGCTGATTCAGTCTTCCCAGCCTGGTGTAGGTCTACAATTTTGTTTCTGGTGTCCTTTGACAGCTCTTTGGTCTTGGCCATAGTGGAGTTTGCAGTGTGACTGTTTGAGGTTGTGGACAGGTGTCTTTTATACTGATAACAAGTTCAAACAGGTGCCATTAATACAGGTAACAAGTGGAGGACAGAGGAGCCTTTTAAAGAAGAAGTTACAGGTCTGTGAGAGCCAGAAATCTTGCTTGTTTGTAGGTGACCAAATACTTATTTTCCACCATAATTTGCAAATAAATTCATTAAAAATCCTACAATGTGATTTTCTGGATTATTTTTTCTCATTTTGTCTGTCATAGTTGATGTGTACCTATGATGAAAATTACAGGCCTCTCTCATCTTTTTAAGTGGGAGAACTTGCACAATTGGTGGCTGACTAAATACATTTTTTCCCCACTGTATATATGCATGTTTTGTAATATTTTTTATTCTGTATATTTTTATTATTATTTTCACTGTCATTTCGGTCATTATTGAGTCACTACAATGTTGTTGATCCATCCATTTCTCCCATCACAGGCATTGAACTCTGTAGCTGTTTTAAAATCACCTATGGCATGGTGACATCCCTAAGCAGTTTCCTTCCTGTCCTGCCACTCAGTTCAGAAGGATGACTGCCTCTTTGATGTGTCTGGGAGGTTTAATACATCATCCACAACATAATTATTAACTTGACAATGGTTAAAAATATATTCAATGTCTCATTTGTTATTGTTACCCATCTACCAATCACTGCCTTTTTTAAAAAAAAAGCTCCCTGGTCTTTGTTGAATCTGTGCTTGACTCAGGGACCTTACATATGTTGTATGTATGGGGGACAGAGGAAGGGGTATTCTTTTAAAAAACATGTCAACCCCTATTATTTCACACAGAGTGAGTCCATATAACTTATTATGTGATTTGATAAGCCACATTTTTATTCTGAACTAATTTAGGCTTGCAACAACTAGATTTTACACTGAACTAAAATATAAAAGCAACATGTAAAGTGAGAGCTGAAATAATATATATATATATATATATATATATATATTCTATACGCATAAAAAGCTTTTTTCTCTTAACTTTTGTGCATCTCTGTGCATTCAAATTGCTATCAATAAAATGCAATTGTGTTCGTTGTCCGTAGCTTATTCCTGCCCATACCAAAAACCCCTCGCCACCATGGGGCACTCTGTTCACAATGTTGACATCAGCAAACTGCTCGCCCACAGAACACAATACACGCTGTCTGCCATCTGGGGATTAATCCGTGAAGAGCACACTTCTCCAGCGTGCCTGTAGCCATTGAAGGTGTGCATTTGCCCACTGAAGTCAGTTACGACGCCGAACTGCAGTCAGGTCAAGACCCTGGTGAGGACGACGAGCACGCAGACGAGCTTCCCTGAGACGATTTCTGACAGTTTGTGCAGAAATTCTTCGGTTGTGCAAACCCACAGTTTCATCAGCTGTCCATGTTGCTGGTCTCAGATGATCTCGCAGGTGAAGAAGCCGGATGTGGAGGTCTGGTCTGGCGTGGTTACACGTGGTCTGCGGTTGTGAGGCTGGTTGGACGTAATGCCAAATTCTCTAAAATGACGTTTGAGGTGGCTTATGGTAGAGAAATTCATATTTAAATTCTCTGGCAACAGCTCTGGTGGACAAAACCTGCAGTCAGCATGCCAATTACACGTGGCATTGTGTTGTGTGACAAAACTGCACATTTTAGAGTGGCCTTTTATTGTCCCCTGTACAAGGTGCACCTGTGTAATGATCATGCTGTTTAATCAGCTTCTTGATATGCCACACCTGTCAGGTGGATGGATTATTTTGGCAAATGAGAATGCTCACTAACAGGGATGTAAACACATTTTTGCACAAAATATGAGAGAAATACGCTTTTTGTGCGTATGGAACATTTCTGGGATCTCTTATTTCAACTCATGAAACACGGGACCAACACCTTACATGTTGTGTTCATATTTTTGTTCAGTATAAAACAGAACATAATTCATGATGGTTTTTATTTTATTTTATTTAGTTTTGGAGTCAAAGATAATAGTTTCAGCATAGTTTTAGTTTTTCAAACAGGTTTGTTAATTACAGTATTTGATTTCGGTTGACTAAATTGGTTATTATTGATTAGTTTTAGTTTAAAATACTAACCTTGGTCTGCTTACATACAGTATTGACTTTTCCCATGAATGTGAAGTAAGCTGTCATACAATTTACACTTTGAAATATATTGTTGCTGGAATCATGATGATTTGAAACATGAAAGACTGACACTATTGCATTCATAGCTCTGAAAAATGTATAATTTTCTAGATGTGTTTTTGACAAGTACCTATCAGACCATGACACTTATAAATGCGTATGGTAGACAAATATTCCAGCACCAGCAGTGAGATAGATCTCCCCTTCACAGCGGCACAGTTCGCTCATTTTCCCCTCTGTCAATCATAATTTACTTTATTGAAACACTGCTGACAAGTGTCATCATACCCCCTGTTGGGTCCAATTCCACCGAGAGATACGCCACATACCGACAACCTGTCTGTAATCACTCAACATCCTCTCTGATTGTTTAATCCACATCAATCATAGAGACTCCAAGTTGCCATCGAGTAATGAGATTTCACAGGGATTGTAATTGAGCGCTTTCCACTAACCAGAGGTCTCATCCTGGACCACCTTTCATTGGGAGAATCATTATTTGATTTGATTTCCCAACCAACTCAATAGATCTATATTGAAGGGAGCTGTCTGATTACATTTGTTCTCCATTCAAAGCATGTACCGAAGCTGTGGAGATGACATAGGGGAGCCCTGTCAATCATAGATCCACCTGTTCCGAGCAGATGATCGGCTTGCAGGACTGGCAGAGAACCCCCTGAAGCTCAGAGAATCATTTTGGAGGGGGGCCAAGTCTCATTAAAACAATCTCTAAAGAGAAATTCAAATGCATAAAGGTACTCTATAGTCCTGCATTTTTGAGTGAAAAAGTGTTTAAAATACAAAAGCTTACGAGGGGCTTAGTAAATCCATTTCCCTTGGCAGACTAATACTGTACCTTGTGAATATTAAAATGGGGGGAAACTATTAAATATGAAATGTTTTACAGAATATTGTCTGTCTGTGTCTCCAAAGAAGAGACACTGTTTCTACAGAGCAACTGAATCACTGTAATAATTTACATTTTACATTTTAGTAATTTAGAAGACACTCTTATTCAGAGCGACTTACAGTTAGTGAGTGCATAAATTTTTCATACTGGCCCCCCGTGGGAATCGAACCCACAACCCTGGCGTTGCAAACGCCATGCTCTACCAACTGAGCTACACGGGACCCTGCTCAAATACTGTCAACTCATTGCATCAAAAGATGGCATCAGTAAAGCTTCAAACCTGCCAGAGAAAAGGGGTCAGAAACAATAACAAATGGGGCCTGAGGCGATGGAAGCAGCTCAAACATATTTCTGACCATTGATCTTTCCCAGCGGAAGGAAACTGCTCCCCCACCAGCTCAAAAATCATGCTTAAATGTCACTGGAAACCAATTTGATCTAACAATACCATTTCCAAACAGGGTTCCCACTGTGCTGGTGAACTTTAAGTTAATACTGACTTCCAGCCATTTCTAAAGCGCAAAAGTTTAATATCTGATGACAAAATGACAGAAGTATGGCCTGCGATCGATGAGATCAATGGCAGCCTTTATGGAGAGCCCTAGAGGTACCTTGGGAGGGTTTGTCTTCTAAAATGTTCTCTGACTCTACAGTACACACACATACTGGTGCCCCAAAATTCATTCTACCATCTTGTTACAGTCCCCAAGAGCTGACTGTGGAGCTTTACTAAGAACTGAATGGTGTTTTACAGTAGCTCTCAGGGAACATGGCAGGTGACACTTGCTTAGTGGCTGGTGGTTTGTTTTTTAGTAGGAACAAGAGATTCCTGTTTTGTGGCTGCAAGATAGACATGATCCTTTTTGACTTAGAGGAAAGTCTTAGTGGAAAGTCTAGGTCGATATCTACTGTGAATGAGCCTCACTAACACTGTCAAAACCACTGCATTTATACTCCCTCCATCTATACATTATATATTGTAATGGTAAATTTTTTTTGCAGATGTGGAGGTAGAGCTTTGATACTGAACTGCACACACATCCATAATACAGGTCTACAGGTAGTGTATATCGACCTGTTACTGAGTAGTAGTACACTCACCTTTTAGTTCCAGGCGAATGAAGTCAGCGTTGCCAAGGTTCTCCAGAAAGACGCCATACGAGGAGGAAGTCTTGAAATAGAAAGAGATGTCAGCACTGGTCTCCCCTTGGAAGGTAGGGAAGTGCAGGTAAGATGCCGGCATGTTGAAGGATGCTGCGTTCCAGTAGTTACCTGGGAAACAGACAGGAAACAAGAATAACTCACAGTGTGTTTCCTGTCTACATTACTGACTGGCATTCTAAGGTTTGGAAATGATAACAAACTCACCATCTCCTTGACAACGCAGTGGACCCACAGTCAACTTAGCCTCAGAGCCAGCACGGTTGGTGTCACCAACTACCACCTGACTCACAGGCAAATGGTCTTTATACACCAGGAGACCAGCGTCTTCTCTCCTGAAAAAATAAATCACCAAATTATATGAAATACAGAGGAATATTTTCACTACAAAAGGCACAACAATAAGATTGTAGCACAAATAAAATGTTACAATGCATTACTTGATACATTTCAGGATAACTAGATCTAGTGTCATGACTTCCTCCGAAGCTGCCTCCTCTCCTTGTTCGGGCAGGCTTCGGCACTCGTCGTCACTGGCCTTCTTGCCACTGCCGCTCCTCATCTCATCATTCCATTTGTTTTGACTTGTTTTTACACACACCTGGTTCATATCCCCTCATCAGTACCTGTATAAGTATTCGCTCTGCCCCCCATGTCTTTGTGTGTGATTGTATTCATGTAGAGGTGATGATAGCTCGGTGGAGCTTTATTGTATTGTATCGCAGGGATATTCACCCGTGTCTTTTGTTTTTCTCCAGTGCGCCGTTATACCGCACTGTAGTGTTTTACGCATTGCTGCGTACTGCTGTATCTGCCAAATAAACCATTTATTCTGTGATTTACCCTCCTGCGCCTGACTCTGTCCAAATCACCCGCTACAGAATCACACACCCAACATCATGGAGTCAGCAGGAGCGGACTATATACCTGGAGTTGTTAGCCAGCTTGGGAGAAGCGATTGAACCAGCTGAGCGACCGGATCCAGCCACCCACACCCCAGCGCCCAGAGGTATTCACCTGTCTCGACCGAGGGAATACGACGGGACAGCGGCCCGCTGCCAGGGTTTCCTCCTGCAGCTGGACCTCTATTTTTCCACCATCAGCCCGGCTCCATTGGATCGGGAGAAGGTGTCCGCCCTCGTCTCCTGCCTCTCGGGGAAAGCCCTGGAGTGGGCCAACACGGTCTGGAGTGAAGGAGGAGACGCGTTGGACAACGGGGAGTTCACTCGCCTCTTCCGGGCAATCTTCGATCATCCCCCTGAAGGAAGAGAGGCGGGCGAGCATCTTGTCCATCTGAGGCAGGGGACGAGGACGGCGCAAGACTTTGCCCTGGAGTTTAGAACTCTAGCGGCAGGGTCCGGGTGGAACGAGCGGCCCTCATCGACCACTTCCGATGCAGTCTGCGTGAGGATGTCCGAAGGGAGCTAGCCTGCCGGTATGCCACGTTGACCTTCAACCAACTGGTGGACATCCGGTTGGAGAACCTGCTGGCTTCGAGAGGACGTCCTGGAAGGGGCCTGCCGTTTCACCCCCCCTCAACCCGGATCACGTTCCGATGGAGCTGGGTGGTGCAGCGATCCGGGAGAACGGAGGACGACAGATCCAGGGTCACTCTTGTGGAAAGAGAGGACATTTTGCTACACACTGTCGTCAGAGTTCTTCTGGGTCTGGAGGCGGCAGGCAGGGCACCCCAGGTAGCGCAAACCCACACTCATTCAGAGCCCTCTGCTGCGCATTTCACCATCCACGTCCACTTCCCTGATCACACGGTAGTTCCCCAGTGTAAGGCGCTGGTCAATTCAGGCGCAGCTGGGAACTTTATGGACAGGTCTTTAGCTAATAGTCTATGTATTACATTGGTTCCCCTACCCATTCCATTGCCCATCAAAGCACTTGACAGTCGACCATTAGGGTCAGGTTTTGTTAGGGAGGTTACAGCACCAGTCACGATGATTATGCAGGAGACCCATAGGGAGCAAATCACCTTTTATATTATTGAGTACCCTGATTTCCCTGTTGTGTTGGGCCTTCCCTGGCTAGCACTACACGATCCCACCTTTTCATGGCTGCAGAGGGTTCTCACGGGATTTGTCGCGAGAGTGGCAGGGTAGGTGTCTAGCTGTTTCTGTTGGTGCAACCACGGTGGAAAGTCCAGACACTACCTCCACCGTGCGCATTCCCCCCGAATACCTCGACTTGGCGCACACGTTTTCCAAAATGCAGGCGACCAAATTACCACCCCATTGGGCGGGGGATTGCGCGATAAACCTCCGGTTAGACGCTGTGCCTCCCAGGAGTCATGTATATCCCCTGTCGCAGGCTGAAACGGAGGCTATGGAGACATACGTCTCCGAGTCCCTGCGTCAGGGGTTCATATGTCCCTCCACTTCGCCCGCCTCCTTGAGTTTCTTTTTCGTGAAGAAGAAAGACGGAGGTCTGCGCCCTTGCATTGATTATTGTACACTTATTCAAACTACCATTCGCTACAGTTACCCTCTACCCCTCATCTACTCTGTTATCGAATCAATGCATGGGGCGCGCTTCTTCTGGAAATTAGATCTCAGGAGTGTGTACAACCTGGTGCGTGTCCGGGAAAGGGACGAGTGGAAGACAGTCTTTAGCACAACTACGGGGCATTATGAATACCTGGTGATGCTGTACGGGTTGATGAATGCTCCATCAGTCTTCCAGTCCTTTGTGAACGAGGTGTTTTGGGACATGCTTGGTCGCGGTGTGGTGGTCTACATCGATGACATTATGGTGTATTCCGCTACTCGCGCCGAGCATGTGTCCCTGGTTCACAGAGTGCTGGGCCGACTGTTGGAGCATGACCTATATGCCAAGGCAGAAAAGTGTCTGTTCTTCCAACAGTCCGTCTCCTTCCTCGGATACCACATCACCACTTCAGGTGTGGAGATGGAGGGAGACCGCATTTCAGCCGTGCGTAATTGGCCGACTCCAACCACGGTGAAGGAGGTGCAGCGCTTCATTGGCTTTGCCAATTACTATTTGTTTATCTGTTGAAGGGTGGGCCGTCCCGGCTCCGCTGGTCTGCTGAGGCTGACAGGGCTTTCAGTAACCTGAGGGCTCTGTTCACCTCAGCCCCGGTACTGGCCCATCCCAATCCATCATTGTCATTCGTAGTGGAGGTGGATGCGTCCGAGGTAGGGGTAGGCGCTGTCCTATCCTTGGCTAAGGACGTGAGGGTGTATGTGTCCTCCTGCTCGGTGTGCGCCCAGAGTAAGGCACCTAGGCACCTTCCAGCGGGTAAGTTACATCCCTTACCAGTTCTACAACGGTCATGGTCCCACTTATCAATTGACTTCCTAACTGATCTTCCCCTCTCTCAGGGTAACACCACCATCCTGGTCGTTGTGGACTGCTTTTCTAAAGCCTGCCGCCTCCTTCCTCTGCCTGGTCTCCCCACGGCCCTGCAAACTGCGGAAGCCCTGTTTACTCACGTCTGACCGGGGTCCCCAGTTTACGTCCAGGGTCTGGAAGGCATTCATGGAACATCTGGGGGTCTCGGTCAGCCTGACCTCTGGGTTTTACCCCGAATCCAATGGGCATGTGGAATGGGTGAATCAGGATGTGGGTAGGTTCCTGCGGTCCTACGGCCGGGGGAGTGGTCGGTGTTCTTGCCATGGGCCGAATATGCCCAGAACTCTCTCCGCCACTCCTCCACTAACCTATCTCCATTTCAATGTGTTTTAGGTTATCAGCCGGTTCTGGCACTGTGGCATCAGAGCCAGACCAAAGCTCCTGCGGTGGATGACTGGTTTCGGCGCGCAGAGGAGACGTGGAATGCTGCCCACGTCCACCTCCAGCGCGCCGTGTGCCGCCAGAAGGCCAACGCTGACCGCCAACGCCGTGAGGCCCCGGTCTTTGTACCGGGTGATCGGGTCTGGCTCTCGACCCGGAACCTGCCCCTCCGCCTGCCCTGCCGGATGCTGAGCCCGTGGTTTGAGGGGCCGTTCAAAGTCCTGAGGAGAGTAAACGAGGTTACGTATAGGTTACTACTCTCTCCTGATTACCGTATTAACCCCTCGTTTCACGTGTCTCTCCTCAGGCCAGTGGTGGCTGGTCCGCTCCAGGATTCTGAGGTGCGGGAGGTCCCTCCGCCCCCTATGGACATCGAGGGGGCCCCGGCGTACTCTGTCCGTTCCATCCTGGATTCAAGGCGTCGGGTGGGGGGCCTTCAGTACCTCGTGGAGTGGGAGGGGTACGGTCCGGAGGAGCGGTGCTGGGTCCCGGTGAGAGATGTCCTCGATTCCTCCCTGTTGCGGGATTTCCACCGTCGCCATCCGGCTCGCCCTGCACCGCGACCTCCTGGCCATCCCCGAGGCCGGTGTCTGCGTGCTGCTGGAGCTGCGCGTCAAAGGGAGGTACTGTCACGACTTCCTCCGAAGCTGCTTCCTCTCCTTGTTCGGGCAGGCTTCGGCACTCGTTGTCACCGGCCTTCCAGCCACTGCCGCTCCTCAGCTAATCATTCCATTTGTTTTGTCTTGTTTTTAAACACACCTGGTTCATATCCCCTCATCAGTACCTATATAAGTATTCCCTCTGCCCCCCATGTCTTTGTGTGTGATTGTTTTCATGTAGAGGTGATGATAGCTCGGTGGAGCTTTATTGTATTGTATCGCCGGGATATTCACCCGTGTGTTTTGTTTTTCTCCAGTGCGCCGTTATACCACACTGTAGTGTTTTACGCATTGCTGCGTACCGCTGTATCTGCCGAATAAACCATTTACTCTGTGATTTACCCTCTTGACCTGACTCCATCCAAATCACCCGCTACATCTAGCTTACGTTTCCATACTGTAGCATTTCATCTCTAGTGTTGTTCATAGTGGAGTCACTCACCACCGCGTTTGGTCAGCGTCACAGTTGCAGTAATACTTGGGGTCAGTGCAGTTCCTCTCGATTCCACAGGCACACTTCTGGATTCCTGGTCCTGAACCACCCCAGTAATAATGCCTCTCATTGGCCCTGCCAACCCACCATGTGAATGGGGATCCCTCTGCAAAATAACAGCATGAATCAGCACAGAACATACTAAAACAACCAAATACCCAATACATTAGCATGATGTAGAATGATGGAGAGGTTGTCGGGAGAGGTCGTGTTTTTCTCTAGCTGGAGGTAAGCAGGAGGTAAGCTTCTCATATGGTGTTGAGTAAAGCTTAACCATGTATTAGATCGTAGGTAGGTAGTTAGCTGTAGTTAGGTATTGTATTTATTATAGGTTAGTATTGTTGTTATTGTAGGTTTCCGTAGGTAATTGTAGGTTAGTATCGAAGCACGAGGCTAGCTAGCTAGCGGGTAGCTACTGGTAACGATTAGCAACGCTGGAGAGCTGGTTCCAATGTTAATGTAGTGCTAGCCAACGTTTAATTTTTTGCTTAACCATGTATTAGATCGTAGGTAGGTAGTTAGCCGTAGTTAGGTATTGTATTTATTATAGGTTAGTATTGTTGTTATTGTAGGTTTCCGTAGGTAACTGTAGGTTAGTATCGAAGCACGAGGCTAGCTAGCTAGCGGGTAGCTACTGGTAACGATTAGCAATGCTAGAGAGCTGGTTCCAATGTTAATGTAGTGCTAGCCAACGTTTAATTTTTGCTTAACCATGTATTAGATCGTAGGTAGGTAGTTAGCCGTAGTTAGGTATTGTATTTATTATAGGTTAGTATTGTTGTTATTGTAGGTTTCCGTAGGTAATTGTAGGTTAGTATCGAAGCACGAGGCTAGCTAGCTAGCGGGTAGCTACTGGTAACGATTAGCAACGCTGGAGAGCTGGTTCCAATGTTAATGTAGTGCTAGCCAACGTTAAATTTTTTGCTGCGTTATGCGTTATGAAAGGAACTAGACACGGACTTGAATTATCTGTTTAGTGTGCTAACACACTCTTGGCAGTTTGTTGTAACCAAGTATTGATGCTAAATTGTGTGTTAATGGATGCTAGCTTGCAAGTTAGCTACGGCGTCATAGCTAGGCATCGTGGGTTGTTGTGTGTAGTTACTGTGTCTTGGCAGTGCCGGCTGTAGCACGAAGCGAGCTACCTAGCCGTTTTTTCGAACAGAGTCAGAGTCAACACAATAGCCATTGTGTGCCGGGTGTAGCACGAAGCTAGCTAGCTAGCCGTTCTTCTAACAAAGTCAACACAGTGGCCATTGCTAGCTACCCAACACGACCAGCTAACTGTACGGTAGTAGCTAAATACAATATACTTGTCCTAGCTAGCCAACGTCTAATCATTGCTGCGTCATGAAAGGAACTTGACACAGACACGAATGATCTGCTTAGTGTGTTATCACACTATTGGTGGTTTGTTGTGACCAAGTGTTGGTGCTAAACGGTGTGTTATTGTTATTGGATGCTAGCTTGCTAGTTAGCTATGGTGTCATAGTTGGCTAGCTGAATAAAGTGGGTTGAGTCTATTCCTTTAAACATTGAACCGCTGTGGTTCACAACAATTCTGATTTCTAAAGGCGGAAGTTGGGAGAGTTTTTGTTCGGGTGGTTCAGTGAAACAATTTTAGTTTCTGAGGTAGACGTTTTTGGTGAGGGAGGCCCTGCTCTCTCCGCTCCCAGATGCTTAGCTCATTTCATTCCGATCTCCTCTGCATTTTTGTAGCCATTTGCTACAGCCTGTCAACTATGCCTCTGCCTATCCCTGTTCTCTCCTCTCTGCACAGGCTACACAAACGCACCACACCGCGTGGCTGCTGCCTCTCTAACCTGGTGGTCCCTGCACGCACCACCCACGTGGAGTTCCAGGTCGCAGGCAGCCTCTGGAACTGCCGTTCTGCTGCCAACAAAGCTGACTTCATCCCAGCCTATGCCAACCTCCAGTCCCTCGACTTCCTGGCGCTGACGGAAACATGGATCACCACTGAAAACACTGCTACTCCTACTGCTCTCTCCTCGTCTGACCATGTGTTCTCGCATACCCCGAGAGCATCTGGTCAGAGGGGTGGTGGTACAGGAATCCTCATCTCTCCCAAGTGGACATTCTCAATTTTTCCCCTAACCCATCTGTCTATCTCCTCATTTGAATTCCATGCTGTCACAGTCACTAGCCCATTTAAGCTTAATATCCTTGTCATCTATCGCCCTCCAGGTTCCCTTGGAGAGTTCATCAATGAGCTTGACGCCTTGATAAGTTCCTTCCCTGAGGATGGCTCACCCCTCACAGTTTTGGGGGATTTCAACCTCCCTATGTCCACATTTGACTCATTTCTCTCTGCCTCCTTCTTTCCACTCCTCTCCTCTTTTGACCTCACCCTCTCACCGTCCCCCCCTACTCACAAGGCAGGCAATACGCTTGACCTCATCTTCACTAGATGCTGCTCCTCTACTAATCTCACTGCAACTCCCCTCCATGTCTCCGACCACTACTTTGTTTCCTTTTCTCTCTCGCTCTCCTCCCACACTACTCACTCTGCCCCTACACAGATGGTAATGCGCCGCCGCAACCTTCGCTCTCTCTCTCCCACTACTCTCTCCTCTTCCATCCTATCATCTCTTCCCTCTGCTCAATCCTTCTCCCTCCAATCTCCTGATTCTGCCTCCTCAACCCTCCTCTCCTCCCTTTCTGCATCCTTTGACTCTCTGTGTCCCCTATCCTCCCGGCCGGCTCGGTCCTCCCCTCCAGCTCCGTGGCTTGATGACTCATTGCGAGCTCACAGAACAGAGCTCCGGGCAGCGGAGCGGAAATGGAAGAAAACTAAACTCCCTGCCGACCTGGCATCTTTTCACTCCCTCCTCTCTACATTTTCTGGTCGCTCCTACCAAGTGGCGTGGCGAGAAGCTGTCTCCGCACCACGTGCTCTCACCACTGGTGTCCCCCAGGGCTCAGTTCTAGGCCCTCTCCTTTTCTCCCTATACACCAAGTCACTTGGCTCTGTCATATCCTCACATGGCCTTTCCTATCATTGCTACGCTGACGATACACAACTAATCTTCTCCTTTCCCCCTTCTGATAACCAGGTGGCGAATCGCATCTCTGCATGTCTGGCAGACATATCAGTATGGATGACGGATCACCACCTCAAGCTGAACCCTGGCAAGACGGAGCTGCTCTTCCTCCCGGGGAAGGACTGCCCGTTCCATGATCTCGCCATCACAGTTGACAACTCCGCTGTGTCCTCCTCCCAGAGTGCGAAGAGCCTAGGCGTGACCCTGGACAACACCCTGTCGTTCTCCGCCAACATCAAGGCGGTGACCCGCTCCTGCAGGTTCATGCTCTACAACATTCGGAGAGTACGACCCTGCCTTACACAGGAAGCGGCACAGGTCCTAATCCAGGCACTTGTCATCTCCCGTCTGGACTACTGCAACTCGCTGTTGGCTGGCCTCCCTGCCTGTGCCATTAAACCCCTACAACTCATCCAGAATGCCGCAGCCCGTCTGGTGTTCAACCTTCCCAAGTTCTCTCACGTCACCCCCCTCCTCCGCACACTCCACTGGCTTCCAGTTGAAGCTCGCATCCGCTACAAGACCATGGTGCTTGCCTATGGAGCAGTGAGGGGAACGGCACCTCTGTACCTTCAGGCTCTGATCAGTCCCTACACCCAAACGAGGGCATTGCGTTCATCCACCTCTGGCCTGCTGGCTCCGCTTCCTCTGCGGAAGCATAGCTCCCGCTCAGCCCAGTCAAAACTGTTCGCTGCTCTGGCACCCCAATGGTGGAACAAGCTCCCTCACGACGCCAGGACAGCGGAGTCACTCACCACCTTCCGGAGACATTTGAAACCCCACCTCTTTAAGGAATACCTGGGATAGGATAAAGTGTTCCTTCTAACCCCCCCCCCCCCCCCCCCCCCCCCCCCCCAAATTGTAAAGTGGTTATCCCACTGGCTATAGGGTGAACGCACCAATTTGTGAGTCGCTCTGGCTAAGAGCGTCTGCTAAATGACGTTAATGTGCCCTTGAGCAAGGCACTTAACCCTAATTGCTCCTGTAAGTCGCTCTGGATAAGAGCGTCTGCTAAATGACTAAAATGTAAATGTAAATGTAAATGCTACATTATTATCTAAACAAATTACCATAGTCTAAGCTGTTTCAACTTTAATGCTATTTGCCATGAAAGCTTGACATCAACAAAGGTAGCATTGTATTATCTGTATACCAGTAGAAGACAGATAATACAATGCTACCTTTGTTGATGTCAAGCTTTCATGGCAAATAGCATTGAAGTTGAGATGGGTCTATTGTATGAATACGTCAGACACCATAAAATGCTTATGTACAAGCCCAGAGTATGTATAGATCCTTATGTACAGCACAAGTGTTACCAGATGATCCGTTTTCCCTCACTCCATTTGACACTTTACTTTTTATTGATTGAGAGAAGCTATGTGGTCTATTAATCAGCTATTCACCCTGTTTCACCCCCGCACCAACAGCAGCACAGACAGATAGTCTTATTCAGCACTCCAGGTAATAAAAAATGACTCGCTCTAGGGAATGGGAAAAGAACTGGTGTGAGGAATCACATCAAGTGGAAATGTCTGTTCTATAGATGGACAAACAAGATCATTTATCAAGGCAAACACTCCCAAGGGTGTTTGTTCTTCTTCAACATCTCCACCATCCTTGTGTTGTGTACTGACTACTGTATCATCTCTATAAACTTTTAAAAGCACTCTTGTGTTTGGCTGTTTACAATGTGAATTATGCGCTGAATTATTTTCCTATTTTTCAGAATAATCAGACAATGATCATGTCTGCCATAACAATAAGCAGTGGGAAAACATTTTTTTTAAACAAAAACATTGTTTACAGTAATTTGCAAAAGACAAGAAAGTGTTATTTAAATAGAGCCAAACGATTAGGCACTTTCCATCTTGTCATTGTTACTTATCAGCAGCACCTGACAAAAATTGCCCTCCAGTGAATGACAAATAATAATTGAATGAAAAATAATAATAGGTTTGTAGTACATTATTGAAGGGGACGGTGAAACATTTATGCAGTGTTTACATCAATGGGGAAATAATATTGGAAGGATAATGGGACTGCTGTTTCTAGCAACTGGGGTGGTCTGTTCATCACACACGCCTTCCTAGATATCTCCCCAAATTGTTTCAGTAATAGCCAGGGGGACACATAGTGAGGTGGTGAGGCTCCAGGGAAAGAACAAAGGCTGTTACACTGGTTGTTCCCTGCGAGGTACCTACAGTGGCTTGCGAAGTATTCACCCCCCTTGGCATTTTCCTATTTTGTTGCCTTACAAACTGGAATTAAAATGTATTTTTGGGGGGTTTGTATCATTTGATTTAAAGAACATGCCTACCACTTTGAAGATGCAAAATATTTTTTATTGTGAAACAAACAAGAAATAAGACAAAAAAAAACTGAAAACTTGAGCGTGCATAACTATTCACCCCCCCCCCAAAGTCAATACTTTGTAGAGCCACCTTTTGCAGCAATTACAGCTGCAAGTATCTTGGGGTATGTCTCTATTAGCTTGGCACATCTAGCCACTGGGATTTTTGCCCATTCTTCAAGGCAAAATTGAGGTCTGGGCTTTGACTAGGCCATTCCAAGACATTTAAATGTTTCCCCTTAAACCACTTGAGTGTTGCTTTAGCAGTATGCTTAGGGTCATTGTCCTGCTGGAAGGTGAACCTCCGTCCCAGTCTTAAATCTCTGGAAACAGGTTTCCCTCAAGAATGTCCCTGTATTTAGCGCCATTCATCATTCCTTAAATTCTGACCAGTTTCCCAGTCCCTGCCGATGAAAAACATCCCCACAGCATGATGCTGCCACCACCATGCTTCACTGTGAGGATGGTGTTCTTGGGGTGATGAGAGGTGTTGGGTTTGCGCCAGACATAGCGTTTTCCTTGATGGCCAAAAGCTCAATTTTAGTCTCATCTGACCAGAGTACCTTCTTCCATATGTTTGGGGAGTCTCCCATATGCCTTTTTGCGAACACCAAACATGTTTGCTTATTTTTTTCTTTAAGTAATGGCTTTTTTCTGGCCACTCTTCCGTAAAGCCCAGCTCTGTGGAGTGTACGGCTTAAAGTGGTCCTATGGACAGATACTCCAATCTCCGCTGTGGAGCTTTGCAGCTCCTTCAGGGTTATCTTTGGTCTCTTTGTTGCCTCTCTGATTAATGCCCTCCTTGCCTGGTCTGTGAGTTTTGGTGGGCAGCCCTCTCTTGGCAGGTTTGTTGTGGTGCCATATTCTTTCCATTTTTTAATAATGGATTTAATGGTGCTCCGTGGGATGTTCAAAGTTTCTGATATTATTTTATAACCCAACCCTGATCTGTACTTCTCCACAACTTTGTCCCTGACCTGTTTGGAGAGCTCCTTGGTCTTCATGGTGCTGCTTGCTTGGTGGTGCCCCTTGCTTAGTGGTGTTGCAGACTCTGGGGCCTTTCAGAACAGGTGTATATATACTGAGATCATGTGACACTTAGATTCCACACAGGTGGACTTTATTTAACTAATTATGTGAATTCTGAAGGTAATTGGTTGCACCAGACCTTATTTAGGGGCTTCATAGCAAAGGGGGTGAATACATATGCACGCACCACTATTCCGTTATTTATTGTTTAGAATTTTTTGAAACAAGTTATTTTTTTCATTTCACTTCACCAATTTGGCTAATTTTGTGTATGTCCATTACATGAAATCCAAATAAAAAAAACATTCAAATTACAGGTTGTAATGCAACAAAATAGGAAAAACGCCAAAGGGGATGAATACTTTTGCAAGGCACTGTATGTTCCACACTGGTTCCCACATGCAGGGGAGAGTGGGACATGGAGTGGCATATGGAGAGAGAGAGAGGGAGGGGGGAGAGAGACAGAGAGACACACACACACAGAGAAAGGGGGTTGGATGGAGAGAGGGGGCTGGATAGAGAGAGAGTAGAGCGAGATTGGGGGGAGCAGTGTGGACGGTGCTGTGTATTCCCTGGATATATAATCAATAATTCAGGTTCTTTATGGTGATGAGAGGGAGACAGGCTGAGGGCCTGGAGGCCAAGCGTTCCCCCGTTGAGTAAGAGGGGACAGGCACACCAGCAGGGGGATAATGGGAGGTAGAGTAGGCTTCTACTCGTCAATACTGGTTGAATGGGCACCACTGGGGCCAACACAATAAGACTACCAAATGAGGGAGAAATAGTACGGCCAGGCAGTCTTCTGACCAGGAATGTCTGACCCCTCATCTCTTTCAGCTCACTGATGCTGCCAACCAACACACTCCCTTTCACCATGCTAAACATCTGTCTAAAGGTGAGGTGTACAGAGCTCACCAGAACACTAATGATGTGTGGGTTTTATCTGTCAACATCTCCAGTCAGTCAGGCCATGGTCTCAGATCCTAACACATCCAAAGGATTTGATGAAAGCTTGTTATGCTGTTCATATATACTTTGAGTGAATGCACAAATCAGCGTCTACTCTACAGGCTGGGAGCTGGGACTACCCTGCTGCTGGCAAAACTCTATGGACCCTCAGGGGGAACAGCTGTTGCTTGATATCGCCAGATGAGATGAAAATCAAACAAGGTAAAAAAACAGCAAACAAAACAACACTAGATTGTTGGAAGACACTGAAGAGCCTTTGGGTTTCTGTGGCTGTCATGGAATTTCAGTTTTAATATTCCCTGTAGTTGGCTTGAGGGAATAAAACAGTTCCAGTTGTCACAGATAATATTCCTCCGACTCCTCTCCATGTGATGGGAAGAGAGCCACTGCAATAAGTGCTCGGCTCAATTCTATGAGTAATGACAAGGGATGACAACTACTGTGACGCTATCTTATGTACGCCTGCTTGCCTTCACATCTTGTGAAACACTTGTCAAATCAAATAGATAAGAATATTCTTCATTTGTTGCCCAAATGCTAATAACCATCTGTTATACAATCTGACAACACTTAAATGGACATTCATCAAAAACAAACACTGGGAAGGGAAAAGAGAAGACGGCATATTTTTGGCATATTATTTCTACAAATGCATAAATTACAGTGTGTCTTTGTTGGAAATATTAGTATTTCCCATTAGAAACAGATCCTCAACCTTTTCTCAGATGTACATATGAGCACAAAAAGACACATACAAACACCAAAAAACAGACAATGTCCTCTTTACCTGGGTTATTGAGCAGTCGAGACATTCGGCAGGCGTAGGCTACATGCTGTTCACAGTACTCTGCACTGCTCGTGATGGCTGTCACCTGTCACAGGGAGAGAAAGCAGGGCTTGAGCAAAGCAGAATGCATAACATTTAGTAATTGAGGATATTAGTGGAGCTGAGTGAAAATACAGTTATTGCCATCGACAATAACATAAAAATGCATTTAAAATACACATAGGGCTGGTTTCTCTACGCAAAAAGTAACCATGGAGTTTCTCCATTGAGCATGGTTCTCAGTCCAAAACTAGACTTAATCCGTGTCCATTAAACCTGCCCATAAAATCCATGTTTCTTTCCCATTGAGCTGGTTCCATCATGAATGATTCAATGGGTGATGATGTCATAGGGTAATAAGGTCGTAAGGTCACCTGCTCTGTGGACATGTTGTAGTTGAGCTGCAGCAAAGCCTTCCCCTCCAAGTCTGAGCCACTCACTGAGGTCTGGGGAGACAGGTTGTTTCTCACTGTCGTCCACACCTTGTCCTCTGCAACACAGTCAACAACACCATCAAGAACCAGTCAGCCGTGACCAATACTTACAGGGGAGGAATGAAATGTAGGTCAGCTATCCCAGTGGTCAAAACTGGTTGCCATGACGTTATAACAACCAGAAGAAGAACAATACTTTATTGATCCATTTTCCTTGCAGTCCACAGAAAAGTGCAGTCCTCCGGTTGCTGGCCCACCTCTCTAACGTCTAGGTTACCTGCCACCCCAAATTACAATCTAACACCAGATTTTGTTGTAATCTGATTATAATGATGTCATTTCAACCAGATTTCCCCACTGGGATGGGACAAAATCATCTGATGCAGTAATGGTAAAGTGGATTTTCTGTTCGGTAGGTTTGGGAGGTACTGTACTCTTACCAGTCATGTTGCAGTTGACTTTGAAGGGGCCTACGGGACCACTCCCATCAGGGTCGATCCAGTACGTGCCAGATGTTTTACCAAGATGTTTGTATTCCTCACAGGACTGTTCATACACGGCTGGAGAGGAGGAATACACACGCGAGAGAGGAAACCACATGTATTATGGAGCTGACATTACAGCAGAATTACTTATTCATCATTATAAATCCAGGAGTTTCCCCATGTGGCTTTAATGTCAGTGAGGTGAATGTGCAAAAATGTTACTGATGTTTCAGATGGGTCTCTGAGGGTATGAATAATGAGAGACCATAGATGAAGATGTCCATATACTGTATGAAAAGGAAGATGTCTTGATAGGCTGAGGAGGAGGAAGGGGAGGATACTTACAGGTATGGCATGTAGCCCCGGTGTAGCCTGTCCCATTACAGGAGCAGCTGAAACTGTCCCAGGTTTGAGAGCAGCGGCCTCCATGTTCACAATGGTTAGGGACACATCTGGGGGGGGGGGGTAGTTCACATGAAAAAGAAGCAGAAGATAATTGAAGTACTTTGACCTTTGTGAAACTACAGATGTAGGATCTTCATTTGAGGCAGTTTGCTACAGCAGGAAAAGAATCATGCAGCAACAGGAAATGTGAATTATTATGTGGATTATAATTAATGGACATTTTTGTAGGGGTTGATACATTTTTCGTAAGGGATAATCATGTCTGAAATGTCAAAGTAGAAATGACAAATGGGACAGCAAAGGATAGATAGGACATCGTAGGGATAATAACTTTCCTAGAGTGCATCCAGCAAATATCATCTACCCTAAAAAACTAATGTATTTGAGGATGCATACATTTGGTACTTCTTCAAATCATATTCACACGACCAAGAAGTGCCATCTAATTGAAATACGTTGACCTTAGTGAGACAATGGAGGTTAAATATCACTGTGGTGTCTCTGTGTCCTGACAGTAATCAGCCACCCCGCAGAGCTGTGAGGGGGTTTGTGACCTTTGTTTAATTTATGTTTGATACCACAGTGTGGTGAATGGTAGGGTGTATCACTCTATCACTGTATTAGTTCATTTCCAGTGCAGGACCCCCTACAGCTATGTGTCGGGTCACAGTGTCTCCCCAGATGCCCAGCGTTAAAAGCATTAAACCTGCTAGTGTGATCAAAGGGCTGTTGTAACATGAAGTTCCCATTGAAGATAGTTGAATTCCCCCCGGTAGCATTGTTTAGACTGAGGATATCATCACCACAATTCTATAAATATGCACAGGCCAGAGATGTTGGAACATTCCTATTTAATGGGAGAGAAAATCTGGTGTATCGGATTAGCGTTACCAATTACTTATAAGTCAAATGTATTGGCCATCAAGAGTTTTCAGCCATAAATGGATCTATCATACGTACATATTACACAAATCTCCCTAGAATAATAATCAAGTTTGATTTGACTTATGATGTTAAAGCTGAGATCCACATTAGGCGAAACAGCGCCCCAGGTGCATTTGTTATTGTTTTGTTTTTGAAAAGTAGGATATGAGCTTTCAGCAACGTAATATACATATATTTCTTCATACTATGCTGTTCTATCGCGCGTGCAGTGAGGAGCAATGATGTCTCAGGGAATAAAACAGTGGTTGTTGTTTGAAGTCATGTCTTTGTAATTTCACACACAGACGTGAAAGTTTCACTGCAACGGATGCAAGAGGAAAACAAATTCGCATGACTTTCTTTAACTTTTTTTGAAAATGTCTCACTCTGACATTTCAAAGGGTGTCGTTAACAATTCCGGAACATAAGGTTGGATTAATGGGATCTACAGTTTGACTCCTAATCACTAGCGGAGAATAAGCAACAGAGATAAGATTCCATTTATGAACCAGAACCATGTGTTGGAGTGAACCCACATACTGTGAGAACGAATTTAATTAGTTTATCCGGATAAGAATGTTAGCGCATATCCATATTTTGAGTAACCTTTCGGTGAAATTGCATTTCCATATCTCAGGAGGAGCAGAAGATTTTCCACTTCATGGTTTTAATGAGCTTAGCTTTAGGGATGTGCGCCTGTGTGGCTGTGTGCTTGTGTACACGTGCATTTACCAGCAGGAACACAGAGATTGCACACTAAGACATCCTATACCAAACCCTTGTGTGATCCGATGATCCCTGCCTCTCGCTGTGTCCATGTGTGAGACTTAAGGTGTCGAAATGTATCAATAAAATCACCTGGGAGCATGAACAGCAGCGTGTGGCATTTTCATTTTCATTTTCCCTGTGTGAGACGCCTGCTTGGTCTTTGTACTCATACCCAATACTCACCTCTCACTGAGAGACAAAGCCTCTTGGTCCACATGATGGTGCAGTTGGTGGGATGCATGCCGCCTTTGTGAATAGACAGTGCAATGTATGCCCAAGAAGCTGATAGCCCCTTAGGTAACGTTATAGCACGCGTTTATACTTTTACTTTCATGATCAACAGCAAAGAAAAAAGGCTAGTTAGAATAAGTCAGCTAAGCAAGATCTATGGGGAATGGTATAAAAGATTACCTGTCTATGATGGCACACATATCCAGGCTGACATTCTCAAAGGTTCCCTTGTTGCCTTGCTCTACAGCCACCAGGTCAGCGAGCTGGTCGTCCACGTGGATTAACTGCATACAGCCCTGGAAGGAGCGCTGGGCAGGGGGCGTGTTGGTACGCAGGAAGTAGCCTACAGGAGGACAACAGGAAAAAGGTACCAGAGTTATCCATATGATCAAGACAGAGCTTTCTGTTTGAAAAGTAAAGTTCACAGACACTGTTCAGGTATTAAGCAATATTAATTATATGAGTGTTGTGTTTTGGTTTGAAACATTAGGGAGCTTTCATTCAATATTCAAGACACCCTCTTAAAGGCAACTACAGTACTTAAAAGGCAAACAAAACACAAAGACAACAAAAAGGCAACCAATCAAAAGTAACAAAAATAGGATTTTCTGACAAAGCCTGCATTCAAACACAAAAAAACACATGTACAATCAACTAATCACAATAGTGTTTGTCAGACTGAATTAAGGAAAATGTAATAATGAATAAGTATGTACCAACGCCCATTACAAGGGCTTATACATTATAGAACAGAGCCATATATTGGTACAGAGATACATGTACTGTATATGGCTCTGTTATAAGCCATCTCTGTAAGTACCTCCAAAGTAGTATTGTCCCCCTGTTCTGATCTGAATGGGAATAACCGTTCTGACAGTGGATGCCTCATCACCATCGATGGTCAGCATGGCGTAGTTCTCCAGAGCATGGAGGTAGACGTTGTGCCACTGGCCGTCGTTGAGCCCCGAACCTGAGCAGTGACCACAGACAGAACAATATGGCTTCATGAATCAGTCAAGGTGGGTGATGAGCAGACAACTGCAATTACTGAAACATCAGAAAAACAACAAGAAATTCAGAGAAAGACTGAGAACACAGGGCCTAAAAGACAGAGATTCAGCTACGGAAGACCCTCATGGGGAGGGCCTAACCAAATCGATAGAGATAATTAATTAATGAAGGGAGGGGAGGGTCTTCGGGCTAAATGAACACGTCTACTTTAGTGCATTAGCCAGCATGGTCGTACTAACTAGACCATACCTGAGGAGATGTCTATACGCGTGTTCTTCTTCTGGGTGACGTTGATGTAGACGGTGACTTTTCCCTCGGTGAGGCCCACCTCCACCACGCCGTCAGCCAGGGCCGTGTAGAAGAGCAGGCCGCTGGGGTTCCACGTCCGGAAGGACAGGCTGACCGACAGGGTGTCGCTCTCCTGCAGCCCCGGGAGACGCAGGAAGCTGGTGGCATTGAAGAACACGGGGAAGGAGTGCGTCTCGCTGCAGGAGAACGTCAGGTTCCTCTGTAAGGGGGATTGAAAGTATGACACCAAACAGTTATACAAGTTAAGGCAGCTTCTCCCTCTTGATTTCAGCTCAAGACATTAGCACAACCATATAAACATAGTTAGCATCAGTGGAGGCTGGTGGGAGGAGCTATAGGAGGACGGGCTCATTGTAATGAGCCATTTATTCCATTCTAGCCATTACAATGAGCCCGTCCTCCTATAGCTCCTCCCACCAGCCTAACTCTTTCCAGCAGCCTCCTTTGTTTAGCATATACAGTCGGATGTTTACATACACCTTAGCCAAATACATTTAAACTCAGTTTTTCACAATTCCTGACATTTAATCCTAGTAGAAATTCCCTGTCTTAGGTCAGTTAGGATCACCACTTTATTATAAGAATGTGAAATGTCATAATAGTAGAGAGAATTATTTATTTCAGCTTTTATTTATTTCATTACATTCCCAGTGGGTCAGAAGTTTACATACACTAAATTAGTAGTTGGTAGCATTGCCTTTAAATTGTTTAACTTGGGTCAAACATTTCGGGTAGCCTTCCACAAGCTTCCCACAATAGGTTGGGTGAATTTTGGCCCATTCCTCCTGACAGAGCTGGTGTAACTGAGTCAGGTTTGTAGGCCTCCTTTCTCGCACATGCTTTTTCAGTTATGCCCACAAATGTGTGATGGCCACTCCAATACCTTGACTTTGTTGTCCTTAAGCCATTTTGCCTCAACTTTGGAAGTATGCTTGGGGTCATTGTCCATTTTAAAGACCCATTTGCGAATAAAGCTTTACCTTCCTGACTGACTTTTGTTTCATCAGACCAGAGGACATTTCTCCAAAAAGTATGATCGTTGTCCCCATGTGCAGTTGCAAACCGTAGTCTGGCTTTTTTATGGCGGTTTTGGAGCAGTGGCTTCTTCCTTGCTGAGCGGCCTTTCAGGTTATGTCGATATAGGACTGTGGATATAGATTTTTGTACCTGTTTCCTCCAGCATCTTCACAAGGTCCTTTGCTGTTGTTCTGGGATTGATTTGCACTTTTCGCACCAAAGTACGTTCATCTCTAGGAGACAGAACGTGTCTCCTTCCTGAGCGGTATGACAGCTGCGTGGTCCCATGGTGTTTATAGTTGCGTACTATTGTTTGTACAGATGTACAGCTTCTAAAGCCATGACATCATTTTCTGGAATTTTTCAAGCTGTTTAAAGGCACAGTCAACTTAGTGTATGTAAACTTCTGACCCACTGGAATTGTGATACAGTGAATTATAAGTGAAATAATCTGTAAGTAAACAATTGTTGGAAAAATTACTTGTGTCATGCACAAAGTAGATGTCCTACCGACTTGCCAAAACTATAGTTTGTTAACAAGAAATTTGTGGAGTGGTTGAAAAACAAGTTTTAATGACTACAACCTAAGTGTATGTAAACTTCCGACTTCAACTGTATTTTGCATAAGAGATACATCAGAAAACCTAAGGTGCTTTTTAGATGTAAATGTTGGGGTTTAATGTATTGGAAAATGCAAGCGCCTGCATTACAGAAAAACAGTCATCATACAGCACTTGACTAAAACCGTTTTTGTCTGCTCTCCTCATCAAAGCTGATCTTTCTCCTTCCACTTGTGCTGAAAGCAAAGCATGCAATCCAACAGCAAGTCACTTAGTGGCTATCCCACAGTTTGGTAAACCCATTTGCTCACAGAAAAAGAAAGCTAAGAGGCACATGTGCAAGGTGAAATCAATAAGGTTCAATAGGTTCAATCCCATTGCATGGAATACTATTTTATTCAGCATATGACTTCTAAGAAATTCATTTGTTTTCCGACATCATTGCCACAAGGTAAGAGCTTCTTCACTTCTGCACTCTTAGAAAAAAGGGTTTGGCTGTCCCCATAGGATAATCCTTTTTGGTTTCAAGCAGAACCCCTTTGGGTTCCATGTAGAACCCTCTGTGGAAAGGGTTCTTCATGGAACCCAAAAGGGTTCTTCAAAGGGGTCTCCTATGGGGTCAGCCAAAGAACCATTTTAGGTTCTAGATAACACCTTTTTTTCTAAGAGTGTGATTTATAGATGCACTAAAGCCTGTTTTTTTAGCGTCTCAGTGAAAAAGGCTAATTATATTGAATTGTATTGAAGTGAGGTGTTGCGTCACTGGCATTTCCAGGTAGGTAATAACAAATACATGGCTGTTCCTGCCGTTTATGTTTTCAAGGTATACTAGTGAATCACAAACCACGTAGTAAAGATGCCACTCAGATATACAAAATATGACATAGAAATGTTCTTACAAAACTTGAAGTATCAATTTTCTTCCTCTTGACCAGGTTGGTAATATTATCTCCGTTGTAGGTGATGCCCTCCATGCAGCCAACAAAGTTCTCCCTGCCTCCCGAGCTGGGCTTGGCAGAGACAGGCATGCCTCCAAAGCTGATCTGGAGGACACAGAAGGAGAAGAGGAAAAGGGGTCAAGTTTTAGTTGAAGAGGCTCAGCAGCAGGAGCCACATCTCAGAGCCATTTGTCGCTTGAATCAAATCAATACAGCAGCATACATCCCTTCAGGGAATATATTGGTTTTCGCTTGTGCCTGATTGCATTAATCTCCACTTTATAATGAGTGTATGGTGTTGTGTCTTTTCCCTCCTCCTTCCTTGCGGAGGCAAAGTCATTTCCACTGATGACACTGATAATTACACAGACAAACCTAAAAGCTAAGTTCTGTAATCACAGGGGAGTCTCAGAAAAATATTTTGTTTAACAAGTAATACTTGGTAGGGATAAAAATTATTGAAACCCCTGTTTTTAATGCCTTTCAATACCTCACCTTGCGTGGATAATGGCACTGAGCCTTTTTCTATAATGTTTAATGAGTTGGAGAACACATTGGGAGGGATCTTAGACCATTCCGGAGACTGAGATGGCCATTGCAAAATGTTGATTTTGTGGCCAATTAACCACTTCTTTGTGGATTTTGATGTGTGCTTGGGGCTATTGTTTGCTGGAAGATCCACTTGCGGCCAAGTTTCAGCCTGGCAGAGGCAACCAGGTTTTTGGCCAAAGAGCTCTATTTTCATGACATCAGACCAAAGCACCAGTTCCAATCCAAGTGCCAATGCCGTTTAGCAAACTCCAGGTGTTTACATTTGTTGGATGACATGAAAATAGAGCTCTTTGGCCATGCACACCAGTGTTGGGTTTGGCGTCGAAATTAGAATGCATGAGCAGAAAATAACCCTATATCTACTGTGAAATATGGTGGTGGATCTTTGATGTTATGGGTCTATTTTGCTTCCATCCACCCCACATACATTCTACACACATTTGACATACATTGCGAAAAATAGTTACGTAGCGAAAATATCGTTATTTGATATACATTACATCTGAATAGATAGTACTTAAACACATCCAGTATAAATTAAGTAAAGTGTTTTCAGTCATAACTATTATCCTGGGGCCCTTGTTAAGGTCAACAGCATCATGAACTTTACCTAGTACCAGGACATTTTAGCCCAAAACCTGGTTGCCTCTGCCAGGAGGCTGAAACTTGGCCTCAAATGGATCTTTCAGCAATGCACTAACCTCAAGCACACATCAATATCCACAAATAAATTGTTAATTGACCATAAAATCTACATTTTGCAATGGCCAATTCAGCCTCTGGATTTGAAATCCATTGAAAACCTGTGGTTTGAATTGAAGAGGGCAGTCCATAAGCTCAGACGTAAGATATCAAGGATCTGGAAGGATTCTTTATGGAGGAATGGTCTAAGATCCCTCCCGATGTGTTCTCCAACTCATAAAACATTTTAGAAAAGGGCTCAGTATCGTTATCCTCGCAAGGTGAGGTATTGAAAGGTATTGAAAACAGGGGTGTCAATCATTTTGACCCCTACCTTTTTGTGAAAAAAAGTATTATTCGTTAAACAAAATCTCTTTCTCTGAGCAATTGTATTAGTATAAAATAATGTAAACATTCTGAGCATACAATATAGCTCAGTATTTGAAGTATTTATTTTATAGTCATTTTGCTCATCTTTATCAATGGTGTCAATAATTTCAGACCCCACTGTATATATTACAACTATATACTGTAAGGAGGGATGCGAAGAGAGGAACATGGACAATACATACAACTCTATAGGGAGGGATGAAGAAATGAACTAAGACAATATATACAGTACAATACAACTATATATAAACCAGGGTTGGGGTCAATTCCATTCCAATTCCAGTCAATTCAGAAATAAACCAAATTCCAATTCCAGATTTTTCCTTGTTGAAAAATATTGAAGAGAATTGGAATTTCAGTGTACTTCCTGACTTGACTGGAATTTTAATTGACCACAACCCTGATAGGGAGGGATGCGAAGAGAGGAATCACTAAGACAATATCCAACATAACTGTAGCCTACCTCATAGTCCAGGTCAAGATGATCAAATTCACCGTTGGTGCGGAAGTGCTGTGTGTGGCGATCCAGGGTAAAGTTTACATTCCGTCGGTAACGCTCGATAATTACGGAGTGCCAGTGGTCATCATCCAATAAACTTCCGCTTGTCACAGAGGTGTGCCCGAGGATGGAGCCGTACTGATTGCTGCCTGAAGTTTACAAGACATAAACAGATCGACTTTATTAAGAAAATGCTTAAGGGAAACATTTTCCAATAAACAACAGTCTGACATAGTGAGATAGAAATAGTATAAATTCTAATTTGTGAAGGCTACTGTGGTGAATAATTATCTTGCTGACAACAACCAATATTCAAATCCATCAAATAGAAATAGAAGATGTATAATGCATAATGCATAAGGGCCAGCCATATTAGCAAATATGCAGGAATCTTAACAAGTTTCATCAACTGACCTAAGTAGCTACCATAAGAAGCTAAATTATCAGCGATTATAGTACACTAGGTGTGCATCCCAAAAACCACCCTGTTCCTTATATCATGCACTACTTTTGGTAAAAGTAGAGGACTAAATATGGAATAGGGTGCCATTTTGGATGCACACAGGTATCCCATTGACAGGATCGGAAATGGTCCATTACCCAGGTTGATCATGAGCAGTAGTTTGGATCTCTTCAGCTCCAGGCTGATATAGTCTCCCTGCTGTCCCTCCCCGTGCAGGAGCACACCGTTACTGGCTGTGGTCTTAAACTTCAGGGAGATGACGTCCTTCAAGATCTTCATCTTCTTCATCTTGAAGCGGTAGGAGATCACACCCTGGCCTTCGAAGTTGATCACATCCGCCCCTGAGGTCACCGAACGGTGATAAAGGATACAGAGCTTAATATCCCCTAAATGACTGTACCTCTACTGTCCTGTGTCAAGGCTTTTCACATGATGTGTTAGAGGGGTGTTAATGAGAAGAAGAAAAGTCCTTTTGAGATCACCTACTGCAATCGCAAGCAATGTAAAAAAGGTAAGGCAGCTTATACGGATTTCTCTTTTTATAATTGGAGGAACAGAACAACTGAGTGAGAAATTACTCAAAGGCTTTAAGACATATAACTCTGGCTGCAAAGACTATTCTGTCTGTTGAGATGTGCCAGTTTACGTGCCTAGACAGCAGCATATCGGCATTGTGATATCACCCTGCGGCAACTCACTCCTTTCAAAGGTGCTTTCATCTCTTTACCCTGATTTAACCGGTCAGGGGGCTCAGAACACTGACAGTCCTGTAAGCCAGCCCTATCGGCGAGGTGGCAGGAGAGGGCCCTGCTCGGTTACATCTATTTGCTGTTCAATCTTACAGGCATGGATGGAGTATTTGCAGTAAGGACAAGTGGCCACAGGGAACTGGACTGGTCAAGGACTAGGACAAACAAGTTTATCACGGTACATTTTTCCTGTCTATTAGTTTCAACAGTCTGTAATACAGCCTGGGATGGATACAGCAAAGGGTGGTGTGGCAGGTGACAATTTAAAGCGTGGCAGGCGCAAGCTTTGAAGGAGGGAATTGATCAGTCAAGCTTGTTTTTTTTGTGGTACAAGGTAACAACAGAAACCAGCCAAGGTAAACAGCTGTTCTCTATCTCCTACTCTATCAAAAACCTGTAGCTGTGAATTCGGTTGTTGGCATGGAGATCAGTAATCTAATTATTTCAACTCAATTAATCTAATTTACTGAGCATATTAATACGCTGAGCAAGACCTTCAGTCTTACATATTAATTAAGCCCATTTTGGCCAACACCTGATTATTCTAATATTTTCTTCATACAGAAATGATCCGAACTGCACGCAATAAAGTAACTTTTCAAAGAGATTCCCTGTTCAGAGATTCCATGTTCCGTTTTTCTGGTTAATAAAGGATTGCAATAAACTAATACAGTAGCATGAGAGTGCACATGGATGTCTGCTGTTCACTCACAGTAAGAACAGCCATAGACTTCCACTCGTAGGCCGATCCTCCCCTCCTCGCTCCACTCCAGTGGGATGATGCGGACATAGCGCGTTATGATTGCATGCTGCAGATCATGGCGGACCACACTTTCACTGTTGGAGTTGCCTGAAAATGCCTGGGCAAGCAAACAGAAACAGAATATTTAGGTTCCATATCCTGAAGCCTAACTTATCATTTTTGAATGAGTAGGTACACTACATGGCCAAAAGTATGTGGACTTGCTTCCATTCAGCTACAAGAGCATTAGTGAGGTCGGGCACTGATGTTGGGCGCACTCCGCGTTCCAATTCATCCCCAAAGGTGTTCGATGGGGTTGAGGTCAGGGCTCTATGCAGGCCAGTCAAGTTCTTCCACACCGATCTCGACAAACCATTTCTGTATGGGCCTCGCTTTGTGCACGGGGGCATTGTCATGCTGAAACAGGAAAGGGCCTTCCCCAAACTGTTGCCACAAAGTTGAAAGCACAGAATCGTCTAGAATGTCAGTATGCTATAGCGTTAAGTTTTCCCTTCACTGGGACTAAGGGGCCTAGCCCGAACCATTAAAAACAGCCCCAGACCATTATTCCTCCTCCACCAAACTTTACAGTTGGCACTATGCATTGGAGCAGGTAGCGTTCTCCTGGCATCCGCCAAACCCAGATTCGTCCGTCGGACTGCCAGATGGTGAAGTGTGATTCATCACTCCAGAGTACACGTTTCCACTGCTCAAGATACCAATGGCGGCAGGCTTTACACCACTCAAGCCGAGGCTTGGCATTGCGCATGGTGATCTTAGGCTTGTGTGCGGCTGCTCAGCAATGGAAACTCATTTCATGAAGCTCCCGACGAACAGTTCTTGTGCTGACGTTACTTCCAGAGGCAGTTTGGAACTCGGTAGTGAGTGCTGCAACCGAGGACAGATTATTTTTACGCGCTACGCACTTCAGCACTCGGTGGTCCCGTTCTGTGAGCTTGTGTGGCTTACCACTTCGCGGCTGAGCCGTTGTTGCTCCTAGACGTTTCCACTTCACAATAACAGCACTTACAGTTGACGGGGGCAGCTCTAGCAGGGCAGACATTTTACGAACTGACTTGTTGGAAAGGTGGTATCCTATGACGGTGCCACGTTGAAAGTCACTAAGCTCTTCAGTACGGGCCATTCTAGTGCCAATGTTTGACTATGGAAATTGCATGGCTGTGTGCTCGATTTTGTTCACCTGTCAGCAGCGGGTGTGGCTGAAATAGCCGAATCCACTAATTTGAAGGGGTGTCCAAATACATTTGGCCATGTAGTGTACCTCTTTGATACATCATGAATGTTTAATGGACTAATTTCAAAGGATAGGTGTGACTCTCTCTTTAAACTAAAAGCTTTGTTATTTCACTTTGGTTCAAATCATTGACTCACCCATATGTTGCCATCTTGCAGATATGGTCTCCAGTTCCTTCCTGTGTCACTGTACAGGAGTCTGTATTGCATTGTCCAATCAGAGCTGCTGTACCTGCCCTGTGTGGCGATGGAGGTGACCTGCTTCCTGGTTCCCAGGTCCATTTGCAGCCACTGGTAATGATCAGTGTCCACAGGAGACCAGCCACCAGCACCTAGGGTTGAGCGAGACAATCAAACCAGCTCCATAACCTTGTATTGCCAACTATAACCTACTTGCAAAACAATTAATTTGCATGTATTTTTCACACGCAAAAATATTAAACTATATCACATAGAAACATCAGTATCCTCTCCTCTTTTGTGGTAAACAATATGTGAGTGAAGTGAATGAGACCAAGGATTAAAATAATCACCAAAGAAACATATTCAGAATATTCAGAATAAAAGCTTAGGGTTTTAGTTGTTAATACCTCCTCTCCTGTTGAGCTTTGCGTATCCAGCCCCATATCCAAGGGAGTAAACTGAAGAGCTGGTGAAAGCAGTGTGGGAGAGTGGTGTGGCCAACGCTTCATCACATTTCCCTGGAGGGCAACACAAAACACAAGATTCAGGCAAGGGAAGAATGAGTCATTGTCCCATAAAATGACACTTCAGCATGTTTTAACAATTTATTTGATTCAGTTTTCTATTCTTCCTTATAATTGTATTTTACATTACTTCATATACTGCTCAACCATAGACAGAGAGCAGTATATGTATTGGAGAGACTATCACATGGTAGATCAAATCCGTCCATGAGACATCTTCCCATTCACACCCTTTTCAATAGCAATTCCTTGGTGGTAATGATTGGAAGCCAAAGGCCATTAAATATAAGTACAATATGTCTGTCCATTGAATATGGCAAGGCCAATTTCTGTCTGGTTTCCTGACTGTTTTGGTTATTATTATTGAACACATCAATAGCAATACATGAATAGCTTAGCATCTAACCTTCAGCCTGTTATGTTCCTGGTAGACACTTACGACCATGATTGATAAACACACTCAATCTTGATGAATAACTTTCCATAGACTCCAACAGACTCTTAGCACAATTTGTGCTGAAGACTCAATCTTGCTTGGCTACAGAGGTCAAGGGTTAGTTTTCGGGGCTACATTTCAAAGCTCTCTTCACACTCTCTACAATCTCATTAACTAGAGGCCTCCAAATCAACACGCACCACTCATGTTTAAATGGAGCTGTGGAGGTCAACATCATTTCCAAAAGTCAATTAGCACTCTTGAATCTGTTGCCATAAGCCATATACATTTTATAGACTTCAGGAAAGGTTACACAGCTCCCTCACTAACTTTAATGATGTAGCTACCTCCTACCTCCTAACTTCATATATTAGAACTTTCTATATAACTCCTCTGTATAACAATTCCTGAACTGTCCCTATACAACAAACCAACTGCTTGGTAAATAACATGCAGGAATTGTGTCAATATTCCCCTGTGCAATCACAGACTATGAAATGACCAGTAGACATGGGACCAATGTGATTGTGGGGAACTGAATCACCTGCATTAATAATGTTGCTGGACAGCTGACATAGATTGTTTGTTACTGTCCCTTTATTTGCCTCGGTGAACATTTAACAGAAAATTGCCTCTATCAATGTGTCTGCCCTGACTGACAAAGAAGGAATGCTTGCTATTTGATGGAAACATGAAAGAACAAACAAGTAATTTCCTGTTTGTATTTTGACAGGTGGAGAGGGATTGTAGTGCCTCACAACATAAAATAAGGTATCAACACAACAAACACTTTCTAAGACCCAAGAAATCAGACAATTCTTTGCGTATGAAAACTTTGGACCCAAGGGAGTTGAAAAACATTGCCAGAAAATACCCCACTACTTTCCAAGACACATTTTGTCAACAACTTTTTGAGAGCAGCACTTTAAAGTGCAAGGAGAACGTTAATCACGATACTGTAGCTGTGGCATTAGGACGTCTTCTTCACACCAGATTTGTCATCTGCTGAGTGTTGACTGAGTTTTATTCATCATCTGTGTGCAAATATTGTGCTGTGTGCTCACACTCACACTCTCTCTCATACACAGTGTGGTAGGCCTGATCACAGGGAGGAGGTCAGGGACCTGGCAGTGTGGGGCCGGAACAACTACCTCTCCCTCAACGTCAGTAAGACCAAGGAGCTGATCGTGGACTACAGTAAAATGGGGGGGGGGGCTCAGATCCTCAAAAAGTTCTACAGCTGTACCATTTAGAGCCTCTTGACTGTGCATCACTGCTTGGTATGGCAATAGCACCGACCTTGATCGCATGGTGCTTCAGAGGGTGGTGCGGACATCCCAGGGGCCGAGCTTCCTGCCATCCAGGACCTCTATATCAGGCGGTATGAAAGGAAGGCCTGGGAAATCATTAAAGACTCCAACCACCCAAGCCATAGACGGTTCTCTCTGCTTCCACACAGCAAGAGGTAACGGTGCATCAAGTCTGACACCAACAGGCTCCTGAACAGCTTCTATCCCCATGCAATAAGATTACTAAATAGCTAACAAAATGGCTACAGGGACTATATGAGTTGACCTTTGTATTTTATTCTTATTCTTGCACTCTCTATGCACACTCACAGGGCCCTACCCACTACGCACACTGATACTCCAACCCACACACAAACACTCACTCCATCATTTGCTCACACACATAATATGCATACATTTATTCTGACTCTACACACACCCACTCACACACAATCATCATGGGGCGGCGCACAATTGGCCCAGCGTCGTCCAGGATAGGGGAGGGAATAGCCGGCAGGGATGTAGCTCAGTTGGAAGAGCATGGCGTTTGCAACGCCAGGGTTGTGGGTTCGATTCCCACGAGGGGCCAGTATGAAAAAAATAAAAAATAATGTATGCACTCACTAACTGTAAGTCGCTCTGGATAAGAGCGTCTGCTAAATGACAAAAATTTTAAATGTAAATGTAAATCATATACGCTGCTGCTACTCTGTTTATCATTATACTCATGCCTTGTAACCTTACCCCTATACATATCTACCTCTATCGATTCAGTATCCTTGCACATTGTAAATATGGTTCTGGAACTGACCCTGTATATATGCTTACTTACTTTATCGTGTTCTTCTTAATTCTTCTTTCTTATTTTTATATCTTGTGTGTTTTTGTTCTATCTTGTTATTTCTTGTATTACATTGTTATTGATTACTGCATTGTTGAGGTTAGAGCTTACAAGAAAGGCATTTCACTGTACTTGTGCATGTGACATTAAAACTCAAAACACACACACACACCTTTGTCGAGTTGAGCCTTGCATCATGATCGTTTATTGTAGTGAGATTGTCCCAGATGGTTAAAAACATACATTAACTGAACCAGATGAATTCCTCAGTGCATAAAGGCATGGCTTAGAAAAGCTGACAGCTCATTTCTCACTGCTGTGTATCTACTGTAGCTGTGGGCTGAGCCTAGATCTCCCCATCTCAGATGTGGACAGCCCGACATTATTGATTTGGCCATAGCGCCTGAGTGCAGTCTCCTGTGATAGCCTAATTTCCACTAAGAGCACGAAGACCTTCGACATCATCAGCTACAACATCACCCACTCATGTCATGTCTGAGACTGGCTGTACACATTTTCCTTAAACGCAGTGACAATCATTCCAGCAGCCTTGAGGCTCCCGCAGCACAACATCAACAAACACTGGGGTTACACGAAAACAAATTAATTGAGCGCAATGTCTAGAGGGGAGCTAATGTTGCAAAATGGCAGCTGGTTATTCTGTACATCGCCACCTTTTCCTAATTGCTCATTTCTTGTCTAACAGTGCATTAGCTGCTGAGTTGTGTTTTAGTGTAGAATACCGGTAGGCAGTTTGTTATAGTTACATGACATGGAACTATAATACAATACCATATCTATTTACACAGAACGTTAGTGGGTGGAAAAGCGCTACCTCATTGAGCAGTGGTAATGTGGTTACTTGTGACTACCGCCACACGCCTACTAGCTGTCATCAAGTTAGGCCTGAGGCCTATAGTCAGACATGTAATTTTTTCATTTTATAAAGCAATTTAGAACCGGAAGCCTCCTAAATAGGCAACACAATGTTGATGGGGATAGGCTAATGAATTGGGTCCACCATGCTCCTTTAATTTGCTGCGCTAAGGTCAGTGACACAATTTTTTTTTTTTTTTTAACCTTTATTTAACTAGGCAAGTCAGTTAAGAACAAATTCTTATTTACAATGACGGTCTACACCGGCCAAACCCGGACGACGCTGGGCCAATTGTGCGGCGCCCTATGGGACTCCCAATCACGGCCGGTTGTGATACAGCCTGGAATCGAACCAGGGGGTCTGTAGTGACGTCTCAAGCACTGAGATGCAGTGCCTTAGACCACTGCGCCACTCGGGAGCCCGATGGCAGAGTCGCTACTATACTGATAAGTGTGGCATGTTAATCAGTCTGCTCGCTGGCCTCACACCGGGACACATAAGTAATGGGTTAGAATCAATCTGCCACTGTGGAGCTTCTGGCTTTCTGGGCCTTATTAGCACAGTCTGAGCCTTGGCTGAAGCCTAGCTGTTATTGGAGCATGACCGGAGCTTAAACTAATGGAATGGCATGTTTTGTCACCTTCAATGTTAGTGTTTAATGATGTGGAACTACGAGCTATACATTGAGTATGTGCTGTATGTATTGACCTTGTTTGAATATTTTCCTGAGTCGAACTATGTAGCTATTTAATATTGATTGTGTTCCAGGAAGAGAGAGAGAGGGGTGAGAGAGAGAGAGAGAGAGAGAGAGAGAGAGAGAGAGAGAGAGAGAGAGAGAGAGAGAGAGAGAGAGAGGAACACTCAAATGGGAAGAATTTGGAAATTTGCTGTCTATAGGCTGTCCTTCTCTTCACCTGTTATTTTTTCAACACTAATAAGTGAATGGCTCTATGACACCACACGTGCCGACAATACTAAACAGTAGGTCCCTGAAAAGCCAAGGACATTTTGTATCAGTGTCGCAAGGACACTTGCTCACAGGATTAATCTAAAAGTAGAAAAATAAAGTGTTAGTCGGAACAGTTTTACTTCACTCTATCAGCAAATGAAGCTCTAAGAATAATTATTCTCATTCGGACCATTACTGTACTTTCATTCTGCTGTGACAATGAATTGCCCACTACTCATTGAGCACCAAGTCTTATCCCTCTGAGCGGAAAATTAAAGAAGCTAAATCATTTATTCCGCTGGGAAGTTTGATAGAGTGATGTTTGAATGTTGAACTGTACTGTAGAACACATTAAAACATCAGAGAACAGGGAGAAAAATTGTGTGATGTGGTAGCAAATCAGAATTTGACTAATTCTTATTCACAGAGAAGCAATTCTGCTTCAAATTACATGTTTTACATGTCAGTCAAATTGACGTTTATTTACATTTCCTTGCCTTTAGATTAGTATTAACAAAAGCAACAAGCTCTTAGAAGCCTTCCCTGTGAGATTTGCGGAGAGAGCAGCCAAGCATAAAATTAAACACGCTCTCTCCACCTCCTCCTGTCCTTCATAGCAAATGGATATTTGAGGCTTTTTGAGTGTTTAAATAACTCTCGAGAAGCTGGCTCTTACCACCACATTGCTAGATGCACAAACAGCACTTGATCATTGCCAATTCAGACACAGGACTTTTTTGTTGTTGTTGTGGTAATGCATTTGTTAGATCTGTATTTGTTAACTGCTGCTATATAGTTATTTATCCCTGCCTACAGTCTTTGGTGTGGCATCCTTACGATAAGTTGATGAGGGAAACTCTTCATCCAAATCACAGGTCATTACATATGCTATTCTGCCAGAGAAAGATGTGACATTGATCAATAATAGATGCCATCCAAGAACTGGAATAACCAGGGAAATAATTATGTTATAATCGCAGACATAAATTGGGTGGGTGGGTCTAAACCTAATATGAACTCCTCCTCGAACGTAATGCCGGGGGAGATATGATATCAGTGAATATGAGTCTGAATGAATACGAGGAAAGGTTAATCAAAAAGCTAATTTGAATAGAGGAATATGACAAGGTTCACACTAAGTAGTCATCTTTTTATGTACTGTCGTGGTCAAAAGTTTTGAGAATGACACAAGTATTGGTCTTCACAAAGTTTGCTACTTCAGTGTTTTTAGATATTTTTGTCAGATGTTACTACGGTATACTGAAGTATAATTACAAGCATTCCATAAGTGTCAAAGGCTTTTTTTGACAATTACATTAAGTTTATGCAAAGAGTCAATATTTGCAGTGTTGACCCTTCTTTTTCAAGACCTCTGCAATCCGCCCTGGCATGCTGTCAATTAACTTCTGGGCCACATCCTGACTGATGGCAGCCCATTCATGCATAATCAATGCATAGAGTTTGTCAAAATGTGTGGGTTTTTGTCTTGAAGATTGACCACAAGTTCTCAATGGGATTAAGGTCTGGGGAGTTTCCTGGCCATGGACCCAAAATGTTGATGTTTTGTTCCCCGAGCCACTTAGTTATCACTTTTGCCTTATGGCAAGGTGCTCCATCATGCTGGAAAAGGCATTGTATGACACCAAACTGTTCTTGGATGGTTGGGAGAAGTTGCTCTCGGAGGATGTGTTGGTACCATTCTTTATTCATGGCTGTGTTCTTAGGCAAAATTGTGTGAGCCCACTCCCTTGGCTGAGAAGCAACCCCACACATGAATGGTCTCAGGATGCTTTACTGTTGGCATGACACAGGACTGATGGTAGCGCTCACTTTGTCTTCTCCGGACAAGGTGTTTTCCAGATGCCCCAAACAATCGGAAAGGGGATTCTTCAGAGAAAATGACTTCACCCCAGTCCTCAGCAGTCCAATCCCTGTACCTTTTGCAGAATATCAGTCTGTCCCTGATGTTTTTCCTGGAGAGAAGTGGCTTCCTCGCTGCCCTTCTTGACACCAGGCCATCCTCCAAAAGTCTTCGCCTCACTGTGTGTGTAGATGCACTCACACCTGTCTGCTGCCATTCCTGAGCAAGCTCTGCACTGGTGGTGCCCCGATTCCGCAACTGAATCAACTTTAGGAGATGGTCCTGGCGCTTGCTGGACTTTCTTGGGTGCCCTGAAGCCTTCTTCACAACAATTGAACATCTCTCCTTGAAGTTCTTGATGATCCGATAAATGGTTGATTTAAGTGCAATCTTATTAGCAGCAATATCCTTGCCTGTGAAGCCCTTTTTGTGCAAAGCAATGATGACGGCACGTGTTTCCTTGCAGGTAACCATGGTTAACAGAGGAAGAACAATGATTTCAAGCACCACCCTCCTTTTAAAGCTTCCAGTCTGTTATTCTAACTCAATCAGCATGACAGAGTGATCTCCAGCCTTGTCCTCGTCAACACTCTCACCTGTGTTAACAAGAGAATCACTGACATGATATCAGCTAGTCCTTATGTGGCAGGGCTGAAATGCAGTGGAAATGTTTTTGGGGGATTAAGTTCATTTTCATGGCAAAGAGAGACTTTGCAATTAATTGCAATTGATCTGATCACTCTTCATAATATTCTGGAGTATATGCAAATTGCCATCATAAAAACTGAGGCAGCAGACTTTGTGAAAATTTATATTTGTGTCATTCTCAAAACTTTTGACCACGACTGTATTAAGTATCTTAAATCACAGAATGCTTGTTATTGCATCTGAGAGTTACAGTACAGTCAAGTCTCCTCAGGGATATGTCTTGCAAGCTCAATGAAAATGGTTTGTTTAAAAAGACAAATGTTTTGCCCATCCCATCCTAGATGTGAACTCTTAACGCCATCTTCTCGTATAATTATCTGTATGCATCATTTAACAATTATACATTATACCACCATACTGCTGCTACATGTATGAAAAACATTTGGTTTAAATGTGCAATAAAAAGGGGACAAGGATTAATTAATGAGACAGGTTCTTTAACAGTAAACCAGAGCAGATGCTTTTAACAGAGTTTTGTGGCTGAAGATCTGTGTCAGAGACAGGGTTAGTCCCATACGGACCTCCTTAATTTAGAGGCAATGGGGCCAAACTCAAACACACTCAACTATCCCCACATAGAATAGGATCATGTTTAATACAGAACGAAGCTCAAAATACAATATGGGACTACATCATTGTGCATGTCTCGTGTATGCTATATTTAATAATGGATTTCATATAAGGCGATGTTTTTGGATTACTCCATTCACAGGAGGAGAAGGCTTTAAGTTAAGCCCCTGAAGAATTTGTGGTAAACAAAAATGTAACCTCCTAAAATTATGACGTTGTTAGAAAGCTACATGATTTTAATCTCCGATTCCAGTGTTAGGAGTAATCTTGAGAGTCGGACTGACTGACACTCCAAATGTTGTGAGTCAATACAGGTGATTACTTTTGTTGTGAACGCTGTCAATTATGCCTCTCAAACCCACAGCCCCATTCAAGTGGTAATGACTGAGCTAGACTTTGAATGGCTCCCTCCTCAGCTCCCTCTCTTTGTTCGACCCAATCAGACTGAACACAACATCTGCCTGCGACGCTCACAAAAGCTAGTGATCCACGGGGGAGGTCTGCTGCCTGAAAGCGAGTGCACAAGTGTTTCCTTTTTAATCCGCTCTTTCTGGGACTCAGAAACCCCAATGATTCCCCTCACAATCACGCGCAGAGAGTTATGACCGGCAATCAGCCATGGCAAGACATTGTGACTGGGAGTGTGTTTCCTACTATTTTCGCCTCACATCCCAATTCAACTGCAAACAACAATGGGATAAATGCGTAATCTCTTCAGATACGCATGTATAGAGGCCAAGCTGTCACCATATGTGCAACACCAGTGACCGTGGCAAAAAAACAGCCCAACATTTTATCAGTGATATGGTGTGGTTGGTTGTGTTTTTATATTTTGGGGTCTGATTTTGGGCAGGTCTTTGTTCTGGAGGTGTCCATCAGAAGTGGACAAAAGGAGGAGCCTGTAGAATAGGGGGAGGGTCACGGTAAGGGCGCACATGGTTTGACAAGTCAGGATGGCAGGTGTCCAGAATCTTAATGAGCTTTCTCATTTACCTAACAAAAAAACACCAATCTAGAGGTTCATTCTCAAACAGGGGGATATGCAGCAAGATTATTATCTGGAAACGCAATCATTATTTCCCTACTTACATGACCCAGGCAACGGCTTCAGTTCAATATTATTGGAAACATGTTGTTCTTTAGAGTCACCAGAGCACAGTTAAAAATCCATACAGCATTTGTAAGGAGTAGTCTCTCTTTCACACACAGTAATAGTTATCTTTCTATTGTGCCAAATGTGTATATTACAGTGCATTATGCTCCAAATGTGCATGATGAGTCTGTTTTTATAGTTAGTTTGGTGAACTACAGAGAGACCTGATTTGTTTTTGGTCTATTCCCTATGGCTTCTCCATGCAGGTCTCTGAGCTACTTTAGTGAGGGTTGACTGGGTTCATTTTTCAAATGTATTTCCTTTTAGTGGGCCAAATTGTATTACTCAGAGTTTGATTTATCTAAATCCTTTAGCCAGGGAAAGTCTATTGAGTCTCATGAATTACGTGATTCATTGTAAGCTTTAATTTCACACGTGATCTTTAAAATCTTTATACTATATATCGCCCGTTATATTGATCAATAACTTTTACACTTTTTTAAAGGGAATCTTTCTGTATAAAATCCTTGAGACACAAATGTGGCACGAGGCCACCTGACCACAATGAGTCTGTCTTTATGTCCCAGAGGTAACTATAGATCCCAAAGGTCAACACAGAGACATCAACAGAAGTCAAGGCTGATGGGCCCCTGGCTTCCCTTGTCATTGACACAAGGCATTATCAAAAGCACTAATCTGGTCGTACCATGTTAACTTACTAACCTTTATTTAACCAGGTAAGTCACTTCCATAACTTGAAAATCGGTCAGGAAAACAGCTACAATAGAAATCCAGTAATATTTCCATAGAAGTTCACCATTTGGCTTTCATTGTTGATCTAGTCTAACACACTCAGTATACATATGTAGATAAGGTAACCAGGAGGTTTACAGCTTAATCTGATCTGAGACATTCAGAAAGCTGAAATCAAACCCCCATTAAACCTGAATCTAAATCTCTGCCTCTCCACTCATACAAGTAGTGAAAGGTCTGTGCAGGCTGGAGGAAAGCAATTCAATAATGTGTTCAGTAGATATGTTAGATACAAACACCTCCGACACAAAAGCACAAACTCTCCTTCTGCCTCTCTCTCCCCCTGTATCTCTCACTCTTCGAACCTCATATGGAATAGTTTCCCCACAGTGTTAGTATGAGTGTGTTAGTACGTCTCTCTTCCTCAGTGAGCACAGCTTGCAGTCAGGTCTGCCTGTGAAGGCCAGTCACAATGGTCATTGGTCAGGCTGTGCTCACTGAGTCTGGGCATAGTCAATGTTTTTCTAAATGTTCCATTAGTCACTTACAATTATCAGATAGTTTGCCACTATGTATTGTCTGTTAAAAATAGTCGAATAGCCAAATGTAATTCCAAACAGTCCTGATAATGGGTGAATTATCAATTTTTTTGTTTTATTTCAGTTGGTTGTTTATTTACTGCTGCCCTGGGACTCATCTCACGGCATTTCAGGGCATCGCAATGTCTCTGTTGCACGCGTACATGTACACGTGAATGATACTTACACACACAATATATATATATATATATATATATATATATATATATATATATATATATATATATATATATATATATATATATATATATATATATATATATATATACACAGTGGCTTGCGAAAGTATTCACCACCCTTTTTCCTATTTTGTTGCCTTACAACCTGGAATTAAAATGGATTTGTATCATTTGAAGACACAGAATATTTTTTCTTGTGAAACAAACAAGAAATAAGACAAAAAAACAGAAAACTTGAGCGTGCATAACTATTCACCCACCCCCCCCCCCCCCAAAGTCAATACTTTGTAGCGCCACCTTTTGCAGCAATTACAGCTGCAAGTATCTTGAGGTATGTCTCTATAAGCTTGGCACATCTAGCCACTGGGATTTTTGCCCATTCTTCAAGGCAAAACTGCTCCAGCTCCTTCAAGTTGGATGGGTTCCGCTGGTGTACAGCAATCTTTAAGTCATACCACAGATTCTCAATTGGATTGAGGTCTGGGCTTTGACTAGGCCATTCCAAGACATTTAAATGTTTCTCTTAAACCACTTGAGTGTTGCTTTAGCAGTATGCTTAGGGTCATTGTCCTGCTGGAAGGTGAACCTCCGTCCCTGTCTCAAATCTCTGGAAGACTGAAACAGGTTTCCCTCAAGAATTTCCCTGTATTTAGCGCCATCAATCATTCCTTCAATTCTGACCAGTTTCCCAGTCCCTGCCGATGAAAAACATCCCCACAGCATGATGCTGCCACCACCATGCTTCACTGTGGGGATGGTGTTCTCGGGGTGATGAGAGGTGTTGGGTTTGCGCCAGACATAGCATTTTCCTTGATGGCCAAAAAGCTCAATTTTAGTCTCATCTGACCAGAGTACCTTCTTCCATATGTTTGGGGAGTCTCCCACATGCCTTTTGGCGAACACCAAATGTGTTTGCTTATTTTTTTCTTTAAGCAATGGCTTTTTTCTGGCCACTCTTCCGTAAAGCCCAGCTCTGTGGAGTGTACGGCTTAAAGTGGTCCTATGGACAGATACTCCAATCTCTGCTGTGGAGCTTTGCAGCTCCTTCAGGGTTATCTTTGGTCTCTCTGTTGCCTCTCTGATGAATGCCCTCCTTGCCTGGTCCGTGAGTTTTGGTGGGCGGCCCTCTCTTGGCAGGTTTGTTGTGGTGCCATATTCTTTCAATTTTTTTATAATGGATTTAATGGTGCTCTGTGGGATGTTCAAAGTTTCTGATATTTTTTTATCACCCAACCCTGATCTGTACTTCTCCACAACTTTGTCCCTGACCTGTTTGGAGAGCTCCTTGGTCTTCATGGTGCCGTTTGCTTGGTGGTGCCCCTTGCTTAGTGGTGTTGCAGACTCTGGGGCCTTTCAGGACAGTGTATATATACTGAGATCATGTGACAGATCATGTGACACTTAGATTGCACACAGGTGGACTTTATTTAACTAATTATGTGACTTCTGAAGGTAATTGGTTGCACCAGATCTTTTTTAGGGGCTTCATAGCAAAGGGGGTGAATACATATGCACGCACCACTTTCCCGTTATTTATTTTTTAGAATTTTTTTAAACAAGTTATTTTTTTTATTTCACTTCACCAATTTGGACTATTTGTGTATGTCCATTACATGAAATCCAAATAAAAATATATTTAAATTACAGGTTGTAATGTAACAAAATAGGAAAAACGCCAAGGGGGATGAATACTTTTGCAAGGCACTGTATATATATATATACACTACCGGTCAAAAGTTTTAGTACACCTACTCATTCAAGGGTTTTTCTTTATTTTTCACTATTTCCTACATTGTAGAATAATAGTGAAGACATCAAAACTATTAAATAACACATATGGAATCATGTAGTAACCAAAAAAGTGTTAAACAAATCAAAATATAGTTTATATTTGAGATTCTTCAATTAGCCACCCTTTGCTTTGATGACAGCTTTGCACATCAAGGCAAAGAGTGGCTATTTGAAGAATCTCAAATATAAAATATATTTTGATTTGTTTAACACTTTTTTTTGGTTACTACATGATTTCATATGTGTTATTTCATAATTTTTATGTCTTCACTATTATTCTACAACGTAGAAAATAGTAAAAATAAAGAAAAACCCTTGAATGACCGGTAGTGTATATATTAAATAATTACTTTGCTTGTAGGTCAATAGGTCTTAATGTTTAACAGGGGCATCTAAAGTGCCTGTCACATGGGACCAGTACTCTCTTCCAGCCATCACTATATCTGTTTCAGTCCTGTGTTGTACAGGGTAGCATAAAGAGTAAAGCATGAAAACAATGGTAGACTACTTCCTAAAACATGTATGATGATCATATCAATCATAGCCTATTGATGTTTTTGTGCATTCAAGCTTATTCATTTACACTCATCAATCATATAAGAACACAGTAGGTGTCCTAATCTAGCCTGTTATAATTGCATTTTTAATTAAACTTTTTGGAGACTCAAATTTGGCTTCATTTAAAAAAAGAAACAATCTTGCAGTGCGTTGTAATACGAACCGCACTGTACAGAAACAAAACTTCAGAAACATCTATCAAGGAGAAATAATTTTGACACCGACCAAACGTAGCCTACAGCCTACTGTAGCCTGCCATTCAGCATCATCTAGGATCTAGGCTATGAGCGAAACAAGGAGGCAGGTCATAGGTAGCTTATAAACTGAATAGCCTCACCCCCCTTAATAAATACAATAACATACGTTTCTCTGTTACTGAAAACACCGGTAATTATTCTACTGCCATGTGTTTTAAGCAGGTCTGATGCCGAAGTGGTAAACACTTTGACGCATAACACTTAGTCTGCAATGCCCTGGTCCTGAACAAGAAGAGCACAAAGCAACGTAGCTAAGCGCATGCCATATAGGCTACAGTGTGTGTTAATAGCCTACTTACGGGTTGCTGAAGATGCTGCGCTGAGGCTGCTGATGCGACTGAAGATCCAGAGCAGTAACGTTAGCTCCGGTCCAGGAAGCATCTTTAATTAAAGCTTGAAACAAAGCAAATTGTGGCAAGTTGTGTTTTCCGTTGCCTATCGATGTTTCGTAACCCGCCTCTACAGGCAGAAGCAAGCTGAAGACAGCTATCCAGATAAGGCTTTATTTGCTATATAGAAAGTGGCTGCTACCAAGCGGCTCGCTCACACGCTGGTGCGCAATATTTGCTACCTCTCGTGTGTCACCCAGCAAAACTGAACGCTTTACAAAAACGGTCCTCTTTTTCAAAGAATATCCTCACGAAACATGTTTTTTGACCGCACTGCCCCATTACCTCTAACTGCATTGTCGGATACTAGCTTCCTAATTATGACAGGCCATACAGAAGAATCGCTGCCAGGTGCTGAATTAGAAATTGCCTTGCTGTTCCCCTATATTTCTGTGATGATGGTATGGTCCACCAAACATACACAAGGGGACACGCTTCGGTGACATGAAATTACAGGCGGTTCTTTCTATACCCCTTTACCGTCACGCGCGATTCCTTTCCATAACAACACAGCTATCTCTGAATCATAGGGCTCTACCTGTGCAGAGCACATGCCCCTTTGCCCTTCCAGTCTCCAAAGTGCCATTTTGGGTGGTGGTGTCATTTTGAGCACCTGCCACCTGAAAGGGCGCTCGATATATATATATATATATATATATATATATATATATATATATATATATATATATATATATATATATATATATATATATATATATATATATGTGTGTGTGTGTGTGTGTTATTTCACTGAATAATTCTGAACATAGCCTACTGCAACTATATAACTAAACATGTATAGTCTACCACATGAATAACACCTAAGCATACCTCGTGAGCCATCTGTATGCTCCTGACTAGAGGTTCTTAAAAAAAAAAAAAACTAAATATACTTTTCTACATCTCTGCTCAAATCTGGGTAAAAGATTTAAAGGAATGTAAGTCTTATTTAGTACATTTAGTTATTGCTTGCTGTTCTAGAGTCTACAAACCTTGCCAGCAGGCATGCCAGCTAAAGTAGTTAGACAAGCTAGCTACTCTAACTTGATTGATAGCCTGACATTTTCTAAGGATAATAGCAAGAATCTTGTAAGCTAACAGGCGGGCCACAAACAGGCAAATAAGGGCACAGTACAACAGTGGTGTGCAGAACGGCATCTCGGAACGCACAACTCGTTGGTCCTTGTCACGGATGGGCTATTGCAGCAGACGACCACACCGGGTTCTACTCCTATCAGCTAAAAACAAGAAGAAGCGGCTCCAGTGGGCACGCGATCACTGGACAATTGAGGAGTGGAAAAACATTGCCTGGTCCAACGAATCTCGGTTCCTGTTGCGTCGTGCTGATGGCAGTCAGGATTTGGAGCAAGCAGCAGGAATACATGGCCCCATCCTGCCTGGTGTCAACGGTACAGGCTGGTGGCAGTGGTGTAATGGTGTGGGGAATGCTTTCCTGGCACATGTTAGTTCCCTTGATACCAAGTGAGCAACATTTCCATGCCCCGAAGAATTCAGGATGTTCTGTAAGGCAAAGGGACTAGATGGGTGTACCTAATAAAGTGGCCACGGTGTATATAGGTATAAAACAAGACAAATCTGAGGGGGCACAGGGGCATGACGCCTCTGGTCTGAGGGCTACAGCAGTCTGCCTACAAAAAGGTGGAATGTTGAAAAGTGTTAGGAATAACAGTCTCGCCCCATACTACTTAAAATATTCATCCAGAGCCACAGACTAATCACTAACGTGAAGGAGAATTCTAATTTGAATGTTTAATTTGTTTTTGCCTCAGGAGGTTTTCATCCATTATCCATATGAGTAATATGTGTAATTTAGTCAAACAGTGGATGGACACACTTGAAAGAAAACTACAATAGCCATACTCAATCTTCTGACTTTATTTTTACCTCATCAGATCATTAATTAAACTTGACTTGGCCTAATTATATAGGCCTACTTATATGACTTAGTTATATGCTGCAAACATAAACAAGCTCTTTTGTGTTCAAAGGTAAGACCTACATCCAGCACTTTTATTTTCCTATCTGTCTCACTGGAGAAAACTTACACCATATGTGAAGTACACCTACTGTGAATGTTGTGAATGTTCATCTTTGTGAAGTGTGTGATCATCTCTTCCCTGTACCTCTCAGCTTGTATGACCTATTCTCAATAGAAGAATAGGTCAATGGTATTTTATTTTCTGGGAATATAATATCTTATTGGTCTTTTCCACACCATTGCTCTGAAACAAACCTCACAGTAGCGCAATGTTGCAGCAACCTCAGCATCAATGATTCATACAGTACTTGGATATGATTTTTATTACATGAAGCTTACGATTTTACTCACCTCTTCAAAATGTAATCCCTTCTGGCCCTAAAATCCATAAGCCTGAATAGAACATTCACTCACTCGGGCTTTGAACCTTTCCACAGTGTTTCAAATTCATTTCCTTCAGCTCTACTTGTTTTCCTCGTGTGTGTTGCAATATTTACAGCAGTAAAAGGTTAGTAAGAGGGGAGGAAAATTCAAGCCATATAATATGGAACACACAGGCTCACATAATTAGAATTCCCTAGAGATACTCTCTGATTCTCAAGATTTTGCAGTGTACAGGGGTCATGTTTGCTGCTAGCCTTATAAGAAGGGAACAAGGACTACACAAGTGAACATAGTCAATAGAAAAAAAGTTGTGGAGCAGCAGCTCTGCAAGCTTATCTTATCTGACTATGATGTGAAGTTGTGCAAAAAGAACTGCCTGAATAGCTCTTATACAGTGGGGAGAACAAGTATTTGATACACTGCCGATTTTGCAGGTTTTCCTACTTACAAAGCATGTAGAGGTCTGTAATTTTTATCATAGGTACACTTCAACTGTGAGAGACGGAATCTAAAACAAAAATCCAGAAAATCACATTGTATGATTTTTAAGTAATTCATTTGCATTTTATTGCATGACATAAGTATTTGATACATCAGAAAAGCAGAACTTAATATTTGGTAGAGAAACCTTTGTTTGCAATTACAGAGATCATACGTTTCCTGTAGGTCTTGACCAGGTTTGCACACACTGCAGCAGGGATTTTGTCCCACTCCTCCATACAGACCTTCTCCAGATCCTTCAGGTTTCGGGGCTGTCGCTGGGCAATACAGACTTTCAGCTCACTCCAAAGACTTTCTATTGGGTTCAGGTCTGGAGACTGGCTAGGCCACTCCAGGACCTTGAGATCCTTCTTACGGAGCCACTCCTTAGTTGCCCTGGCTGTGTGTTTCGGGTCGTTGTCATGCTGGAAGACCAAGCCACGACCCATCTTCAATGCTCTTACTGAGGGAAGGAGGTTGTTGGCCAAGATCACGCGATACATGGCCCCATCCATCCTCCCCTCAATACCGTGCAGTCGTCCTGTCCCCTTTACAGAAAAGCATCCCCAAAGAATGATGTTTCCACCTCCATGCTTCATGGTTGGGATGGTGTTCTTGGGGTTGTACTCATCCTTCTTCTTCCTCCAAACACGGCGAGTGGAGTTTAGACCAAAAAGCTCTATTTTTGTCTCATCAGACCACATGACCTTCTCCCATTCCTCCTCTGGATCATCGGCAAACTTCAGACGGGCCTGGACATGCCCTGGCTTGAGCAGGGGGACCTTGCATGCGCTGCAGGATTTTAATCCATGACTGCGTAGTGTGTTACTAATGGTTTTCTTTGAGACTGTGGTCCCAGCTCTCTTCAGGTCATTGACCAGGTCCTGCCGTGTAGTTCTGGGCTGATCCCTCACCTTCCTCATGATCATTGATGCCCCACGAGGTGAGATCTTGCATGGAGCCCCAGACCGAGGGTGATTGACCGTCATCTTGAACTTCTTCCATTTTCTAATAATTGCGCCAACAGTTGTTGCCTTCTCACCAAGCTGCTTGCCTATTGTCCTGTAGCCCATTCCAGCCTTGTGCAAGTCTACAATTTTATCCCTGATGTCCTTACACAGCTCTCTGGTCTTGGCCATTGTGGAGAGGTTGGAGTCTGTTTGATTGAGTGTGTGGACAGGTGTATTTTATACAGGTAACGAGTTCAAACAGATGCAGTTAATACAGGTAATGAGTGGAGAACAGGAGGGCTTCTTAAAGAAAAACTAACAGGTCTGTGAGAGCCGGAATTCTTACTGGTTGGTAGGTGATCAAATACTTATGTCATGCAATAAAATGCAAATTAATTACTTAAAGATCATACAATGTGATTTTCTGGATTTTTGTTTTAGATTCTGTCTCTCTCAGTTGAAGTGTACCTATGATAAAAATTACAGACCTCTACATGCTTTGTAAGTAGGAAAACCTGCAAAATCGGCAGTGTATCAAATACTTGTTCTCCCCACTGTATGTACATAACAGAGATTGATGTTAGAATTAAATGAAAAACAGAAGATAATGAACTTGATTTAATCAGTCCATTCAGGGTGTAATGTCATCATATCAGTAATGGAAGACAGCATTAGTCCTTCCTTAGAGGAAATATAACCTTGTCCCCAGGCTATTGCACACAGCGCATATAAGCCTGGGACATCATTGATTCAAAGTTGGCCTTAGTGACAGTGAACATAGAATTCTATGGGAGTGACCTTACTGAGTAAAGTATTTTTCGTTTCATTTTAGCGAATCACACGACTGCAAGGTATAACTCCGTAAACAGAGGTGCACAAGACACGTACAGGGGAGGGTTAGGGGGAAGGTGTTGTAGGAGATGATTGGTTGGTAGATTAAGCCGATTAAGACAATGCGAAGGCCATGTTCGATGCGTTGGCCCACCAGATGCGTTCATAATGTGTTCATCAAAACAATACACTGAATTTCAACACTCTTGATCAGAGTTCATATTTTCAGTTATTTAGAGGAAATGAATACCAGAGATTTGAAATCTTATTAAGCCAAATTTATTTACAGAGCAAACAAATATGAACTGAAGATAATTATAATATAGAAAGAAAAGAAAAATAAACACTTTGGCACTTTGATCTCATTTCCTGTTGCAGCTAGTCAGTCAGTCCGGGGAGATATTCAACCACCACTGCAAGACAAGATTGCAATTCATTAATATAAAGAGATAAGAATGTTTTTAAATATGAAAAAGCAATCGCCATTAAGGAACACTGCCATCTATCATCATTGTGCAGTCATTGATTTACAGAAGGGCTATTCAACTGCCGGCCCGGTCCAGATCGTGCCCTTTTATCAATTTACACTGGACCCTTGATAAGTTCTAGAACATTATAATATTTTTTTTATGGGGGAAAATCCCCGCAAAAATCGGATGTTTATTGCCAAAATGACAAATACTACTAGCGCTATTAGTGTAGTTTCTAGCGCTAATGTGGATTGTTGATATTTTTTTCTTCCTATGAATTTTGCTTTAGCGTTAGAATGGTTTGGACTATAGGATCTATTATCACCCCATTCCTGAAAGCTAAGAGTCTCAGGAACACACGCCTTCTGTTTCCCTCTATGATGCTCACAAGGTAAGCAGGACTTGTTAGAAGGAAGTATGAGAAAAAAGACGGACATAATAACTAGGACTTCTATAGCTTTGAAAATAATTAGGGCCGGGACGATACCAGTATCACGATACTCATTTACATTTACATTTACGTCATTTAGCAGACGCTCTTATCCAGAGCGACTTACATTATTTTTTAAATTTTTCATACCCCCGTGGGAATCGAACCCACATCCCTGGCGTTGCAAACGCCATGCTCTAACAACTGAGCTACATCCCTGCCGGCCATTCCCTCCCCTACCCTAGACGACGCTGGGCCAATTGTGCGCCGCCCCATTGGTCTCCCGGTCACGGCCGGCTACGACAGAGCCTGGATTCGAACCAGGATCTCTAGTGGCACAGACCACTGCGCCACTCGGGAGATACTCGTTAGTATTGTGGCAAAGAAACTTCTTTAGGAAAACATCCCTATTTTTGGAAACAAACATAATTATGTTGTCATCCAGAGTCATATTTATTTATTTCCCAAGCTATAGCACACAATATTTTACATACAGCCGGTCTGCTTCGTGTTTTCATTTTTGCCATGGAAAAAATATTGCGATACTAGTATTGTCCCGGCCCTGCTAATGACTGTGAAAAATGAATTCAAAGCATACTTCCTGTGGAATAAGGCTACCGGATTGCTATATCTTCATGTGTTATTTCTAACTTTTATTGAGATAATGGCAATAAGGCCAGATTCAAAGGTTTTTAAAATAATTTGTACACTTTTGTTTTATAATATAGAGCATCAAATAGCCTGCTGGTCCATGTTATCACTATCTTTGTGATAGGGCAATAAAGACAAAATGCTTCGTTTTCAAAGGATTAAAAAATGACCTAATTATTTTCAGCAAGATTTAGTTGTTTTATATGGTGTGTGCGTTGTTTTTATTTTATAGAGTTCTTCTGAAGAATAATTGCATGTGGAAAATGTCCAGCCCCATGCAACCACAAAAGTATAGTTGAATAGACTGATTTACAGTAATACTAGGCTACTATTGATTAATACTTACACAATGATGTTGTTGATGGGGATGTGGATGAGTTTGACAAAGAAACCAATGAAGCCCATGATAGCAAAACCTATCGCTGTGGCCATTGCAATCTTTGAGAATTCTGAAATTAAAAAGAACAAAGTTTAATCAGATTTTACATGACCAAATTCAGTTAGCTGCCACCTTACAAAGTTAGGTCAACCAGAGGCTAACAAATCATTGATCAATACATGTACAATATTGTTATTGTAAAACAATGTTGTATGCTACCTTCTGTTAGTGCAAAGCGATTAACCAAAATGTTGGTTATTTTTTAGCTAATTGACCGACATCAGTAACATTATTTGAATTCCATTTTGTTCATTTTATTTCTGTGTGCTTAATGCGCACATTGAGCAGTTTCTCTAGAGATCACACAGCCCTGGCTAGATGTGATGTATGTAGTAGTGAGTTGTAGTTCACAACAGGCCAATATTCTACATAGTTTTGTGAAGAAAACGTGGTAATTAACTACAATGACGATAATCCATTGCTTGCCTACTTGTCCGGTCTGTGTTTCTTTGCCTGCTATGTTAGGTTTGTGTGGGGAAGACATGGAGAGAGAGACACGAGAGGAGAAGAATGCGCGAACGAGAGGGATAGAGTGCAGTTGCTTCATGAGGTATCTCTACCTGAAAATACATGAACTAAGTGATGGATAGTTGGTATTCAGCAAAGAAATATATGCCCAGTCAGTTCTATGCACCTATAATGACATCATGCTAGGGAGGGAGGCTTGTGAGAATTCCTTAAAGGCAATACATTTCATTTTATTTACTGTATAAGGGTACCGTGTTTTGTCTAAGAAAACGTTGACCATTTACAACAGCCAAACAGCCAGCCATAAGGGGGCCATTCGTAATAAGGATAAATAACTATGATATAAAATAGATGACCTTTTCTGTCTGGCTTGGTACACCTCTTCACAAGCCTTATAGAGTCCTTCACAAACTGCCGGCTGGGCTCCACAAATTGCATTACTTGGTCCATGTTTGAAAGGTTTTGATCCTAATGGGTGAACAATAAATACAATTAATAAATTAATGTGTAGGTCTACTCAGCAGCATATATACATCTAATACAGTATAAGCTTTTAGGTTAGTGTCATTTTGCTGTAGCTCGGTAGCCTATACACCAGTGTAACCCTCCAGTACCATAAACCTCAGGCTTGGGTAGCCTTAATACTTCAACACACTGGTTTGTCACAATGTCTAACATTTCGTGAAGACATTGAAATAGTTACAATCGTGTTAAAATGTAGCCGATACTGCAACTCAGCCAATGAAAGTTAGCTACATTGTTCTTACAATGCATGTCTTGATGCAACTTCTAAAGAACACTATTAACAACACAAAAATAGATAATAGGTAATTCTAGTTGACTTACCGGAGTTCTCTTCTGAATACCTATTTTTGTGACTGCTCTATGTAAAGGCCACGTATGTTCTAAAAGATGACGTCGACTTCGGAGAAATATACGCATGCGCCCAAGGGTAACTCGGATGTGAAGGGGCGACGCAAACTCTGACGCACGCGAAATAGGAAAAATAGAGCCAAGTACATTCTTGGGGGAACAAACCAAACTTTGGTGTCCTGATTAAATCTAGTAAATTTACTTATGAATCAAATAATGCCTAGCGGAATGGCTAAGCTACATGCTGTCCTGAGAACCTCTAAATTGACATTGTAAACCACCGTGCCAGTGATAATTCCGAAAACCACAATAATGTACTTCTCTGAACATAATGCTGAAAAAGAAGGGGAGTGCCTGTTAACCTTTAAATACATTTTATTGGGATAGGCAGCTTGTATGAATACAATTCAAATCCCCTCCTGCCCAGGAATATTTTTTACCAACATAAACATAGGCTAAAAAGGTCCGTCCTCATGCAGACACCCGTAAATCAAATGTAGAACCACCTATTCCTCTACAATGTATGGAAACCATTTCTAGGCGCAATCATTCAGGCATGGGCTTTGAAGCGGTACAAGATTTAATGCAGTCACTCACTCACTAGATGGCAGTAAGGTGCCATGTACTACAGATGGCTGTCTTTCAGAAAACAGTGGGAGCAGTTTCAGCAAACACCTTATTCAAGACCTTGAGTCATTGTTCCTACCCTTACAAAAATTGACCATGGTACTACTATGGTAATTTCATTCATGCCATGGTACCACTATGGTACTTTCCCTTATACCATGGGATAGTTTGAATCATGGAAATGTTCCATGGTTTTAGCATTGAGGTATGATGTTGTGGTCCTCTGTAGCTCAGCTGGTAGAGCACGGCGCTTGCAACGCCAAGGTAGAGGGTTCGATCCCCGGGACCACCCATACACAAAAAAAATAATGTATAATGTATGCACGCATGACTGTAAGTCGCTTTGGATAAAAGCGTCTGCTAAATGGCATATTATTATTATTATTATGTTACTGCCATGCACTTAAATAATACTATGGTATTGCATCATTTTTACCATGATATAGATGTGGATCATGGAAATATCATGGTTTTAACCTGCATTATGCATTCTACCATGGTAACGTACAATTATGATAAATGGTACCAAAAATTATCATTTTATGAATTATGCATTTATTAATTGTGCGTTACCATAGTACTGTAACGACCTTGGGTTTATAAGCACTATCGACTCTAAGACGGGAGCATGGTTTTGGGGCACGGTCGATGGCGAGCTGGACTTCGGCCTAGAAGGTTGAGAGTTCGAGACCTGCTCCCTGCCTGTTTCATTACATTGGTGTCAGAAGTGGGTACAATGGCAGTACATTTTACATTTACATTTTAGTAATTTAGCAGACGCTCTAATCCAGAGCGATTTACAGTTAGTGAGTGCATACATTTTTCATACTGGCCCCCCGTGGGTACAGTACAATGGCAGTATAATGCATTAAATAAAGAAATCCCCCAAGGTCAAAAGAGGTTGATTGGTATTATATTGATGAATTTATATACCAGTATGGGCAACTTTCTGATAAAGTCAGATGCAGGCTACTATTGTTGGTCCTAGTTTGTCTGTAGCATTAAAGAAAAAGGGAAATAGTTACTGTGAAAAACGGGTCATATTTTCTGTATAGTATCGTTTTTTGCTCATGTTTGGGTTCCCTGTGTTGTAGACCTGAAATGTGGGAGAATGTGAGATATATGGTAGCCTAATCTTTGGCATTTTGTAATCATTTACACTATTTATAGTCAAGAGGTGTTGCGCTCGATCTAGTGGTTGCTTCAAGCGCTCTCTACGTTGGCTCTCGCGCTAGCCTGCCTTGTAAGGTGAGTCAGTTGAATGAGAGAGCCAAACCAACTAAAAACTGAAGAGAGAAGCACCAGATAAACGAGATATTTTAAACGTTATCATCATGGTGAGCGAGTTATAAAGCATAGGATATGAAACACCAAGTTAAACGGAGTGTGATGATATAATTGTTGTTATTTCTTGATTATGTTTTGATAGTTTAATTCATTTATAAAAGTCCGTTAGCATAGAAGCTAACGCCGGCTAAAGTTAGCTCCAGTCAAGCTAGCCTGTCGTCATGGCGATAGGACCAACGAACGTTCACACAGTGTAAACAAAGGGAAACGTTGTAACTTGCTGTTTTTAGGTACAGGTTGAGAATTACATAATGAAAATGTATCTATGCGATAAGATGATAATTAATACCTTTTTACAATTTTTGTTTTGTTTTATGTTGGCTATTTAGAATTATATAAGAGTAGCCAAGTCAGTTGAATGAGTGAGATCCAACTTTAAACAGTATTGAAGAGAGAAGCACCAGATAAACTATTTTAAATCTTCAAGGTTTCAGACTCCCTTCATTCTTCTCACCATACTCTATCCAGGTCCCAATGTTTAAGAGGGTACACTACACTACTAGACCATGTGTGTTGTGGTTTTTCACTATGAGCTAAAGGGGTACTAGGCCTACGCTTTGCCATTGCAGAGCGAGTAGTCAATGTTGCATTATGTCAGTACCATAAATTACAATGTTTTGGTGACTTTTCCCGAAAAAACGGTGGGACACAGACCATCATAATACATTGTAAACAACTACCATGCGTTCATGTTTCACTACATGCTGCTAGTACAAAAACATGGTATTTTTTTCATTGTACTACCTTGGTTCATGTGTTTTGGTCTACGATGGCAGGAAAATACAATGGTATTTCTACCAGTACCATGGTAATTTCCTGCCATGGTAGTGACCAAAAAAACATGATAGTACCATGGTAGTTCTTTCATTATACTACCATGCAGGGGCGGTGTGTTCATTAGGGCGATATGGGCGACGCACTGCCAAACGGGAAAAGGAAGGGATTTTTTTTCTAATCAATTATATCACGGCAACAGTAGTTTTCAGTGTTCTAATCTAGACGTCTGATCTGCCACTAAATGTCCAATCAGGCTAAAGTCGTGCTTCAAATGGCCCCGCCCGTTTTGGGGCGATTTCAGTCAGGTTGAAAATCGCCCCAGAAGTCTTTCAGACTCTCATGTAAAATCTTTTTTTTTTCAAATATCAGAGCTTTCAATACAATCTCTATGTGTTCCGGGAGGGCTTGCACTTACGCGCTTTCGTCATACGTAACATAACCATGAACATAACTAAGAAAAGAGCGGGTAGCAGCGTCAATCAATTCACGTACTACTGTCAAGATTGCTAGCGTTCAGTGCAACTCGATTGTCTCTTTGAAAGAAGTTCATTTTTGTCTGCGAACAAATCAAGATAAATTGGCAACGAAACAATTAGGACCTCCCAGACCAAATTTAATAATTCAACAGGTTTCTACTAAAGGGGGAAAGTCCTACACCCGAGGATTTTCCAAAAATTGGTACGAACGAAAAACCTGGCTAGCAGGCTGCGATGTAGCTAATGCAGTCTTCTGCTACCCCTGCTTACTCTTTCACCCTGAAGGCGGCACGGCAGACAGCACCGCTTGGACAGCGACTGGTGTAACGGACATGCACCATCTTTCAGAAAAGATTAAGAAACATGAGCTGTCAAAGACCCACATGGATAGCTGTTTGAGATTGTCTGCTTTGGGGAGAGTGAACATTGCCACTCAACTGGATGAGGGATACAGGCTAGCTGTCCGCCGCCACAACGATGAGGTTAGCAAGAACCGCCACATCCTCAGCCGGCTAATCCAGTGTGTGAAGTTTTGCGGAGTGTTTGAGTTAGCTTTGCGAGGCAAAGATGAAAGTGAGGGCTCCACCAACCCTGGTATTTTTCTTGGACTTGTCAACTTTGTGGCACAATTAGATGAGGTGTTTGATGACCATCTTAAAAATGCTAAAGTTTTCAAGGGCACATCAAAGACCATTCAAAACGAGCTACTGGAGTGTATGCTAGCGGTCATGACGGAACATATTGTGGAGGAGGTGAAGTCGGCGAACTTCGTAGCTATCCAAGCTGACGAGACCACGGACGTTTCTACACAGACACAGCTGGTGCTTGTGCTGAGGTACATAGATAGCAAGAAGATTTAATTTTTTTCCTGGGGCTTTTTCACAAAATCATGCCCCACGTCGACATTCTGTACCAGAAGCTACAGAAGAAGGACATCGATGCTGTCTTCATCAAACGTGCCCTCGACAGCTTCACAAGCAGTGTGCAGGCCATAAGGTAAGATTAAACAATATCATTCGATCTTTCTCAAAGCAGAGATTTATTTGAAAATGTATGCATGAAAGGAGACATCATCATATTTACAAATCTATACAATTGGCCAGAATATGGTTGTTCATTTTTACAAAGCCATACAGATAGCTGTGTTTACCTTTTCTATAAATTATTTTCAAATTCTGTTTTCAGGCAAAATGTCTATCACTGTTCATTTTCACAAATCTATACAAAAGGGCAGAATATGGAAGTCTATAAAAATGTCTTATTACCAATAACTTGCATCAATGTTTTCAGTAGCCTCTATCAAAAGCTCCTGCTTGCTTGTTGTGAATTATGCTCAGGTGCACATATTTC